CCTGACTTTATTTCTTAGGACTGTCGTATAAGTGCTAAAAATAGCCTTGATTACAAACAAGCAGGGTGGTGTGTCACTTTATTTTTTTAGGGGTCAGTAGAGAAAAAAAACTCCTTACTGTTAAATTTTATTCAGGTTATTTTGCAGCACTTGCACTCAGGTACAAAGGCCTGTACTATTTTGCTCAGTTTTGTACTCTTTAAGTGAATCACATAATAAACTTTTATTTTGAAGTTTCATCGTGTATGGCTTGAAAGCTAGTGAACCATTCATAGAAGACCCTTGTACTTGTTTTTCATGAGGATTTCTTTTTCTACATCTGAAGCTTCCAAATTAGTGGACATTTTTCTTCTTCTTCTTCTTTTTTAAGATTTTATTTATTTGACAGAGAGAGAGCACGAGGGACTCCCTCGTGGGACATGAGGGAGAGGGAGAAGCAGGCTCTCCGCTGAGCAGGGAGCCCGATTCGGGGCTGGATCCCAGGACCCTGGGATCATGACCTGAGCCGAAGGCAGCTGCTTAACTGACTGAGCTACCCAGGTGCCCCTATTCTTTTATTTTTATTTTTTTTTTACAATTTTATTTTTATGTAATCTCTACCCTCAGTGTGGGGCTTGAACTCACAACCTTGAGACCAGGAGTTACGTGCTCCACTGACAGAGCCAGGCAGGTACCCCCCCAATTTTTTTTCTTTTTCACATTGATATATTATTGCAAACTAATGAGTAGTTCCATTTGAAACTAAGTAGCATTGTAAAAATTAGTGATGAAGATAGAATTTTTTAAAGAGGGAGAGGTGGGGCAAAGACAAAGGGAGAGAGAGAGAGAATCGTAAGCAAGCTCCATGCCCAGCATCCCTGAGATTGTAACCTGAGCCAAAATCAAGAGTCGGATACTTAACCAACTGAGCCACCAAAGCACCTCAAGATAGAATTTTTCAGGTGTTTTTCAAGATTCTTTCTGGAATCTACGTTGTTCTGATTTGTCCCAGTAGCAGAAAAAGTAATGAATCAATGAAAAAACGTATCTTAACACTACTGTCTGCAAAACCATGAGCCCCTTCAATAAATTTTATGGAAAATGTGGCTTTGCTAAAAAAAAAAAATGTATAATATTATGGGAAATACAGGAAAAATAAATAATTCTATTGGAACATACACATGTACACAGTCGTTTCAGAAGTACTGCCCTTTTAAGGGAGCTTACTCTGAGGGCTAAAACTCTGAATTTCTATCTGGAACAACGTTAGCGTGTCAGTGATCCTCTTCAGTGTGTGACACTTGAAGGAGAATTCTGATCAGCAGGTCTGATAGTGTGACTGCTGCCAAGATACTATATTTGTCTTAAAGCAGCCTGACTCTGCATCATTTTTTTGGGAGATGTTGGTTTATATTCAGATTTTGTGCTGGTAGCATGTGTAGAGATTGTTTGGGAAAGGTCTGTTAAGCCCTATTTTCCCTTTCATATCCTTATGCAGTTGAGTTTTTAAGGTAAATGTAAGACTTATTTTTACCCCTATTAAATATCTGGCTTGGGCCCATTATTCAAATGGTTATCTGAAATTTTTTTCTATTCTGAACTGTTGACTAAAAGAAATTGACCTGCAAATAGCTTCAGTATTTATTTACTTATTTGCAAATTTATTTAACTCATGTCGCAAAGGTGAAAACAAGTGGGTCCATGGCATATAGAAAAAAAACTGTAATAATAACATTATTATTATTATGTATTCTTTACTTGTATAATTTGTTATTTTTTCTTATAAGATTGAAAGCATAATAGTACTCTTAATCAGTGCTATTCATGTTTGTGCCAGTTCATGGCTGGCGGGTTATTTCCTTATAATGAAGGGAAGTCCACTGATAAGCTTGGCAAATATTATTAAAAAATAAATTATACCCCATGGTGATGAGGGTACAGCAAAACTCTCCTTGTGGGATTATAAATTGGCACATCCCATCTGAAGGGCTGTTTGGTGTAGTATAAATCTAAAAGAAAATGCGAATAAGAACTCACAGATGAGAGGTTCACCACCCAGAATTGTTGTTGTTGTTTTTAATTAACTTTTTTAAAGATAATTATAGATTCACATGTAATTATAAGAAATAATGTAGAGATGATCCCATTGTACCCTTTACCTATTTTCCTCAAGGGTAGTATTTTGCAAAATTATAGCACAGGATCACAAGCAGGATGTTGACATTGATGCAGTCAAGATACAAAAGATTTCATCACCACAGGACTACCTCATGCTGCTCTTTTATAGGCTCCCACCTCTACCCTCTCCTTACTCCTGGCAACCACAAACTTTCTGCACTTCATTTCTAGAATGGTTGAGTACTTTTTGGGACAGCTTCTTTCTCCTCTCCTTCTGGGACTCCAGTGACAGGAATGTTAGATCTTTTATTGTAGTTCCACAGGTCTCTGAGGTTCCGTTGATTTTTTTTTTCTCCAGTCTATTTTCTCTTACTTAGATTGGGTAATTTCTGTTCTGTCTTCTGCTTCACTGACTCTTTCCTCCATGCCCTTCATTGATCTCACCCACCAAGCTTATTTGTTATTTTAAATTTAAGTTCTAAAATTTCCATTTGGTTCTTTACATTGCCTCTTTTCTTTGCTGAGACTGTTTTGTTGTTAAGGTCTTCTCTAATTTTTCATTCATTTCAGCTGTGTTTGAAAGTGCTCAGTGAGGCATTTTTATCATGGCTGCTTTCACATTGTTGTCAGACAGTGCTAACATTTCTGTCCTCTCTTTACTGGTGTCCATTGATTCTCTCTCTTTAGTTCCGTTGGAGGTCTTTTTAGTTCTTGCTGTGAAGTCATGAATTTTGGGTCTTAATTAAACTTTCTGTTTTGACTGATTAAACTTTCTGTTTTGACTGACTTCCTCTGGCACCACTCTGGCAGAAGAAGGCAGGGGTGCTACCAGGTGGAAGTGCTCCAGGTTCCCCACTCAGCCTCTCATGATACCTAATGGGGGTGTTCCTCATATCTGCTGGCTGGGAGTGGGAGTTGGACTTCAGTTCTCTGAGCAGCCTTTCCCACACCTCAGTGGGGGTGACTACGTTAACCACTAAGTGGTGGTGAGAGTCCTGACTCTCCACTAGGCCTTCCCCGACACCACACCAGAGGAGACGGAGAGGGGCAACTCATTACTGCGTGGGGGTTCCCGACATCCTTTCTATGGATAGTCGGGGCAGGAACCTTGTCAATGGCCAGTGGGAACTAAAGTTCTGGCTCCCTACTTGGCCCTCTCTTGACATCACCAGCAGTGTCCACAGCTTGTCCTGTAGCTCATGAGGGTGAAAATCTAGGCCTTTCTTGGCTTGAGTGTGGGTGGGACCACAGCTTCTGTTCTGTGGTGTTTAGACAGTGGCTATTGTTTAAATGTTCTCTTGCTGGGGTGCCCCTTTCCTGGTCATTTGGCTGAGAGAGCAGTCTTTTCTTGGGGTTTTTGTTTCTGGGTTGCACTTTCTCCAGTATCCAGTGCAGGATACGTGAGGCAAGAAAAAAAAAAAAACCCAGAGAACTAAGCACCGTGTTGTTCCTTGAGCAACAAGGTCCACAGCAGTTCTGCTCTCTTCTCTTTCCTTTCAGTCTTCTCATGTATGTTTCGTATGCAGTGTACACATGTGTGTAATGCCCAGGATTTTTAGGTATACTTACAAGGAACAGGAAAAGTACATCTACTTCATCTGCCCAGGAGTCTGCATAGTGTCGCAGAGTGTTTTAAAAGTATGGATTATTTTCCAGTCTAGTATCTTATCTCTACCCTTCTCTCTCCTCACTTAGTTACCCCCTACCCCCTGTCTAGATTTCCAGGTTCTCTTGACATATTAGAGAATTGAAAGCTCACGATGTCTGTTTCCCATGAAATCCTCCAACTGATGCCACCGTTAGTTACCATTTCCCACTGGTGCTTGTGGGGCACTCACCCACTTTGCTCATTTATGATAACTTCTTGCCTGGAAGGCACTGGCTTCTGTCTGATGCAGGGTATCAAAAATGTTCATGCTCTCTGACTTGGTACTCAACTTCTAGGAATCTATCCTAAGGAACTAATTGGAGATGCTGTCGGAGATTTCTATTTATTACAGGTTTGTTTATGTAATAGCAGAAAATACATGAGCCTAGATAAAAATATCCAAGTATGCTAGAATACAATGATATTACTTAAAATTCACATTTAAAAGACTATGACATGGCAAGTGTTCATAATAAATGAAATAGCAGGATATGAAAGTGTTTATACAGTTTTATCCTGGACTTTCATAAATCTTTTTCAACTTTTGGAATGAAATTCACTAAAATTCCAACAGTATTAACTCCAGGTTTTAATTTTCTTCTGTATATTTTTCTGTACTTTATGAATTTCGGCCATGAATTGGTAAGATCAGGAAAATGAAACCTCTTAGACAATTTAAGAATACTCTTGGAAGTGGTTTTTGCTGTTCTTAAATGAGATGTAAAAAAAAATTATATGTGAGATATTTGGGGGTTTACTGTACATAAAGGAACATACTTTGCACGTACATTTACGCACACATAATATGGTAAATACATGCGAATATTTCATGAGTTTTGCTAGGAGTCCTGTATGTGGAGAGCAGGATGCCGCCCGCGTGTCCTGTGGATTAAAGTGATGGGCGCCGTGCTTGATGCAGCTATTGACTTCTGGAGCCGTTCAATTTGGGTAGCACTCTTAAGGAGAAGAGTCTTCTGGTTACCAAAAAGAAGGCAACAGAGAGCGCTCCTAAAGTCATTAATGCTGTGTTATGCATCCAGTGCCTTTGAAGAGCTTGTGTTTCATTACTCTGCTGGAAGTTCGCCTTTCTTTATGACTTCAGTCATCCTCACAAACTGTTTCAGGATGCCACAAAGAGAGAAGCTCAAATTTTCCGCTTGTGTCAGAATTAGGATATTTGAAAGACATGTAGAGAGGTATTTTTCTGGCACCAGTTACAGGAACTTACTGACCTAAGTATTTATCTCTTATTTAGTTTGACCAGGCAGCTGGTGCCGAGTTATCCTGGATTGCTGAGACTGAAAAGAAATTGATGTCTCTGGGTGACATCAGGCTTGAGCAAGAGCAGACCTCTGCTCAGCTGCAGCTTCAAAAGGTGAATTTCCAATTATATCAGAATTATTTGTTAGCGTGGCCCCAAGTCTAGACAATGTGCTTGTATGATTTACTTTGCAAGACCCCTCTAGCGTAGCTTGGTATTTTTAACAACTTTGCCTGATTATTTTCATTTTAGTCATACACTCTCTCTCTTCTTAATCTTTATTTTGGTAAATCACAGACATTCACCATGGAGATTTTGCGACACAAGGATATTATTGATGAACTTGTTAAATCTGGACATAAAATCATGGCCACATGCAGTGAAGAAGAAAAGCAATCAATGAAGGTATAATCTTGTCTGTGTGACTGGTGGTGAGACTCTTGAGTAAATGACCTGCCTTAAGCTCTTAGTCCTAGAGAAGCACATTTCCTTTATCCACAGCTGCCATTTAGACAGCTAAATCATTAGTTTTAAGTAAGGTATTTTTCAAGCTTACAGAGTGACAGTAAAAGGAATATTCCTTGAGGGAATCACCATGGGGACGTTTTTTTTTTTAAATAGGTGCTAATATTAAGGTTTGTGTCCTTGCATGACTGGCACACGTTAGACATTCGATTAATGTTGGCTGTATTACTTACATTACTATCAGTATAAACTGTTACTAGATATGTCAACTCTTGTTTATATGCTTCAGAATACCTCGTTTCGCTGAGATCCATTCTGTATAAAATTTCAGTAAGTTGTATAGGAAAAACAATGAGCTGAATAAGAAAGCATCTACTTTATGCATTTTTAATAATCTTTTAAATTGATGAAAAACCAGCCACAAGTAAAAATGTTTAGTTCCATTCAAATTCAGACATCTGAGCAGACTAAAGAAATTAATGTGTATGAATGCTTCTGGTAGGAAAATATCCCACAGTAAAAAAAATTACGTATAAGTCTGTGCCTAAGATCACATTTCAGAGTAGGTGTTGCTTTTAAGGTATAGCATAGACAAAGGAATAGAATGTAACTGTATACTGGTACTTCTTCTGTTTCTTCTGGAAATTTGCTTATTTGTAATTTAACCTTTCCTTTATTATTTTTACAAAGATCTTGACATGAAAAATGCTGGTCATGATGAAATAATTTCTGTGTCATTCTGGAGTTTATTAGATTACTATTATGCTCTATCTTCTGCTCTTGGTTTATGATGTGAATTTATGCCATAATCTAGATCACTGTGACCAGCCCACAAAACATAGTGTATAATATAATGTTCTACTCTGATTCTAATATATGTAATTAATTTTGTTGACTAGTAGTTCCTCTTACAATTTCATTTGTGAAAGATAGTCCTTATTTTTGGCTACAAAGTAATGTTAATGTTGCTAGACTCATATGAGACCTGTTTTCCAACCTTAAAGGACCAACAAGACCTAGAAGGATAGTTGAAGAATTTTGTTAATTATGTTTGGGAAGCTCAGTGTCTTATTCATAAACTTGAGGCTATTTATTTGTTTATATCTTGAGTTTTGTCACCTAGTGTTTGGAGGTGGGGGTGGTTCTCTGTCATTAAATCCCATGATTTTTGATGATGACATAAAAATCCATTGTATGAAGATACCATAATTTATTAGCTTAATCTCCAGTTGTTGTATTTTAAGATGTTTTCCACGTTTTTGCTATTTTTACATATAGGAAATTTTTTTTTAAATTGTGGCAAGAACACAACATTAGCATTTAGTAGAATATTATTCAGCCTTGAAAAGGAAGGAAATCCTGCCATGTATAACAATATGGATGAACCTGAAGGATCTTTTTTTTTTTTTAAGGTTTTATTTTTAAGTCATCTCTACACTCAACATGGGGCTCAAACTTACAAACCTGAGATCAAGAGTCACATGCTTTACTGACTAAGCCAGCCAGGTGCCCCTTGAAGGGTCTTTTTAATTCTAATTAAAATGAAATTTTATACACAGAACTGGTTACAATCTAAATAGGCTTTAATGATTTATTCACTAAACATACATTTATTGAGTACCTGCTTTGCACTAGGCATTTAATGCTAGAAAAAGCATTCTGGAGTTCCTGAGGTCTTTGGCCTGCTTGGCCAGCTGAACACATTTCATTCTCTTATTTTCTAGAAAAAATTGGACAAAGTGTTGAAGAACTATGATGCCATCTGCCAGGTAAACTCAGAGAGGTATCTACAGCTAGAACGGGCACAGTCCCTGGTTAACCAGTTCTGGGAAACCTATGAAGAGCTTTGGCCGTGGCTGACAGAAACACAAAGAATCATCTCTCAACTTCCTGCCCCAGCCCTTGAATATGAGACTCTAAGACAACAGCAGGAAGAGCATCGGGTAAGCTTGATATTAGAAGGTTGTTGTAATCCCCATTAGAAGAGAATCGTGACTGTGATGGTGTTTTTCAGTACATGTGCTGCCAAAGGGAGAACTGTCATGGTCATTTTTAATGCAGTTCGATGGAGATTTTGGCAATATCCTATTCTGGTCTGCACAGTTGTTTTCCTCAGAGTTGCTTACCTATTGTTTTCCAGGGTTACAGTGAGGAGACTCATTGTTTATGTCATTAATTGTATCACAGCTTTCCTAGAGTGAGTGGTATGAAGTATAAACCATTCTGGTACAAACTAATTTCCCATTTTAAAATGTTAGAGAAATATGCTTTTGAAGTACTTCCCATTTATGCGTGTTGAATTGTTTTTAATTTACATATGTTGGCTTAGTTTTATACTTCATATGTATTGGTTGGAGCCATCTAGAATATAAGCAAAGAGTAGGAATATATCAAAGCAGCATCATATAGACTAGACCACTGAGCTTGGAGGAGATGAACAATGTAACAATATGTCAAAGCACAAATAATGTAAAAGCTAGCTCAATGAAAAGGAAAAATGCTGAAGTATGAAGACAAGTTGTTTCCCCTTTTTTCTCACTGTTTTGATGGTTTTTGCTCCTGTAAGTATATATGAGTAAACTAGAGAGTGTATTTACATCTATAAATGCCTCATGTTTTAAACATAAATAAAATGGCATTACAAAGCCCTCATTTCAGCAGTTACTTAAATATTAACATCGCTTGAAATTTGGGAAGGGTTTGAGAGAGGGCTCAAGACTCTCAGAAAAAATCTGGAGTTCTTGCTGTTTATGGACTTAGGAACCTAGTTGCTGTCTCCCAGATCTATACAAATTGTACTCTGAGACTGTTCGTGTGTGTGTGTGTGTGTGTGTGTGTGTGTGCGCGCGCGCGCGCGTGCGTGGAAAGTTTAACTTGGTATATTACATCATTGTTTGAAGGACATGACACGCTTCTTATTAATTTTGTTTATTGACTTTTTTAATCTACTGCCATTGAAGAATATCTCTAACTATTTGTTTATAAGAGCTTTAGTCAACACTTTAATGTAAAATGGAAATTTTACTGAGTTCTATCTACATCAGCAGGAGAAAGGCTTAAAAATTATGAAGAATTGAATTTAATTTTGATATAAAGGTTTATTTGTCGCAGAAATCCTGATGCCTATCCACTGAATAACTTCTAATATAAAATGTTCTGCAGATTCCTTCTATTCTGAAGGGGGATTTGAGTAGCTATGCTTCTCTGTAATATCAGATAATGGAAAGGTTATTACTGAATTATTATTAAATTTCAAAATTGAATTTACTTTCCCTTTTTAGCATAACCTTTCAGCTGTCAAATTTATAGTTTCTTGTATAAAGGAACTACAAAACTTTGTAGCCAAGTCTTCAAATTATTCAACAAAATTATTCCTAATATTTACAGCCTTCTAGAACAGCATTTCTTCTGTAGCTCCACAGCTTCGTCTTGAGCTTCATTCTAATCAGGAATAAAAAATGGCTCCAAGAGCTAGTTACTCTATGGTAGGTGTGTTGAGGCCACACTAAGTACGTGTAACATGAACGTGACTGGCATGTTACAGAACGATGTTGCCAAGAATCATTTTGTTACATATGAGGCAAAAGACATCTCCTACTGGGCTCTTTCTCCACGCATACACCCAGGTAGACATCTAGTACTACTACGCATCTAGAAAAGGAATGGCCTAAAAATGGGTCATCTCAGTAAGTCCCAAACTAAGGTGTCCTTTGGTGGTGCTGCACAAATGAGACCTCCCTAGATGCTGGGAAACTCAGGAAATATCTCATTAAAGATCTCAAATGAGCAGAGATCTCTCATTTTACCCGAGAGTCTCTAGATAACTCCAAGCATAATCATTTGCACCATCCAACGATGCCTTGCTGAGTATTGAAACCAGAACATGTGTACACATTCCTTTTTTGTGGGACTGTCTATTGGCTGATACTACCCTTACCACCTCCATTCTTTAAGGCAGCATGACTAGATGGTCTAATAACAGAAAACAAAAATAACATCTCAGCCTGGACCCCTCGGGAGCTAGATCACAGACATGACCCTCCCACATTCTCATGGGCAGCAGGTTAGATTTGGACCACCCCTGTTCTCTCTCTTTTTTTTTTTTTTTTAAATTGAATTTATGTTTATTTAGCCTTTTTTCAAGAGTTTTGAGACAGCCTTCAGAAAAACTTCAAAAATAGTATTGGGGATTGTTGGTGATGTAATGTACCAATTTCCATAGGGATTTTCAAAATAATTTATATGACTGATTTTAGTGAACACTTTAAATAAAAATCTAGAGTTATGTAGCCATCTTGGTGATTCTTTTTGATGAGTCATAGAAATGAAACTATTTGCAGGAGAAGATTGGTAGCTTTTTTCTAGGCTATCTCTCCTGAATATAATTTCTCTCAGAGGGGCGCCTGGGTGGCTCAGTGGGTTAAGCCGCTGCCTTCGGCTCAGGTCATGATCCCAGGTCCTGGGTTCAAGCCCCGCATGGGGCTTTCTGCTCAGCAGGGAGCCTGCTTCCTCCTCTCTCTCTGCCTGCCTCTCTGCCTACTTGTGATTTCTCTCTGTCAAATAAATAAATAAAAATCTTTAAAAAAAATAATAATTTCTCTCAGAGAAATTTTTGGTGGGGCCTGAGTAGCAAAATAGAAGGAGATACACCTTCTGGTGAGGGTAAGGAATTTCTGCTTATGGAACCTAATCACTAACGTGGTACAAATGGAAGGTTCCTCAGTGCCACAGGGAAACCTGGAAGCAAAGATGGGTGTGGCTTTGGATTTGGCCCAAGAGAAACTACTCAGTGGAGGCCCCAAGTTCTATGGAGTTTATTTATTCCAGATTTATTTGTCTCCCTTTAAGGAATGGGGGGCTCCACCTGGATTACACACACTCACTAGTGTAAATATCATTGTATCTCTTAATTAGATGACATCATGCAAAACGTGTCATGTATTTTTCTTTAAATGCGCTTTACAAATAATGCTCATTATATAGCTGTGTATCTGATAGATTGATTATCCTGTAGCCTTTAGCATTTTAAAATAAATACAGAAAAATTCATTCGTATGTATATATCATACATATCATATATGTACATAGAATAGATTTATACTTAGGTATATATAATGTAATGCATATGTGTACATCTTGTATTAGTTTAACTATATATAATTACAATGCCCTGTGGGCTTATATCCCCTTAACTTAGCTTTATGTATAGTTTTTTTTCTCCCTGAATTATGTCTACCCTCTGCTGAACTTCTTTCCTTTTCCTTCCTTCTCTTTCTTCCTTCCTCCACTTTAAATTTTTGCATTTATCCTGAGTGTATAGAAAGGGACTACCAAGAATTATGGCTTGGTCACTATAGGTTGGGGATATAGTGATTTCATAATTCTTTTATGTAATATGACCCTTGACCAAGTGTACTGCTCTTCATGGGAAAGGCAAAATGAACTGCGATTATTTCAGTCAACCAGCATTTTTGTATGTTATCCTTAAAGAGACTTTGACATGACCAGACTGTTGTTTATTCTTTCTGTCAGGGCATCTCTTGCTGGCCAAGAGCAGTATGAGGCATTCTGTATTAAATGCCTTGTAATGGGGAGGGTGTTTGGTGTTTCTTGCCAGCTGGATGCATTGGGCATGTAGACAGCTGTAATATGGAGGCGTGACCCTGAGATACTGAGAAGCTGTTTGGTTTGTTATAGCAACTGCGAGAGCTGATAGCCGAACACAAGCCTCATATAGATAAGATGAACAAAACTGGGCCACAGTTACTGGAATTGAGCCCAGGCGAAGGCTTTTCTATCCAAGAGAAGTACGTGGCAGCTGACACCCTTTACAGTCAAATTAAAGAGGATGTCAAAAAGCGGGCCGTGGCGTTGGATGAAGCTATTTCTCAGTCTACTCAGGTAATCATTTGCACCAGAAAGATGATTGAGCTCTTCCAAACAGAAGAGCATGGAAACACATTTTCTTGGATCTTCTGATTAAAGTTCAAACAAAATTATTTCACTACATTAAATCTGAGTATGGATGTTCTCGCTCCTCAAAGGTGGTATTTGGTTGGCCCAGTCCTTATATTTCTTTGCCTGCTTGTAGATACAATACAAAATAATTCTCAATGACTTAAGAAACATACAGCCGTCGTCACTGCCCAGATATTTAAAGAAGTGTCCATCCACAGTAGATGCCTCTGGGAGAGCTAAAAGAAAATGTTATTATCATTATTAACGAGACACTCCCAAGAAGGCAATAAGAAGAAAGACTGTGTGTACTGAGTAAGAAGGAAAAAATATGAAGTTGGAAACTGGTATTTTTCCCTTTTGAAAATACTTTTTTTCAAGAAGTTGAATTTGAAATTACCAACAGATTTTCCCTTTTCAGAGTTGTGCTTTAATCGTTAGATGCACTAACATTAGAGTGGTCTGTTTTATGGAATCCTGAGTGATGATTCCTTTAATATTGAAGGTAGTGTAGAACCTGAGTGAGTTTTTATAACTTTGCTTTATTGTCTGTGGTACCTTTGCAGTCAGATCTTTAAAATGCTTTCATGAATTTGATCATGTGTTTGAACATGAATGAAGTTCAAACTTCTTTTACAGTATCAGGGAGGCTTTTGTTTCTGTTTCGTTTTTTAACGTTTTTCAATACAGGAAATTTATAACTTAAGAAATAGCTTTATTCTCATAAAAAATGTTCATGAATCTTATACTTAATAATATAACTTTTTAGGATATCAAAGTAATGAGTAAAAAACAAAACAGTTTTGATAGAAAAACACAGAGTTTATTGAACTTAATTTTTAAAATTCATTTGAATATGATAAAATGAAGTGATGGGTAAGACACTGATATCAGGTTGTCCAATTATACATTAACCCATCCTGTTCGGTAACAAATACACTCAACTGGGTAGGTGTGTTAACAGAGGATCGAAGATCTAATTCATGATTGAGACATTAAATAGATGGGTTTTTTTCCATTTAAATTTCATTTTTGATAGCACAAGTCTTTTCCCCATAAGTGATCCCTTTGATTTACTTCTAGTTCCATGACAAGATAGACCAGATCCTTGAAAGCCTGGAACGCATTGTGGAGCGTTTGAGGCAGCCACCTTCGATCTCAGCTGAGGTGGAGAAGATTAAGGAGCAGATCAGTGAGAATAAGAATGTGTCAGTGGACATGGAGAAGCTACAGCCATTGTATGAAACTCTTAAAAAGCGGGGAGAAGAAATGATCGCAAGATCTGAGGGCACTGACAAAGACATATCTGCCAGAGGTAATAATTTCAGAATAAGGAAACAATTGAGCTTTACTTTTAAAATAAATTTAAATGTTTGTGCTGTTTACTGACAGTAAGTTGCATAATAATTTTAGAAAGGGTATTACCCGTGGGGTTGAAGGGCTGTGTACATAAATCCCTCATTTGTGTTTTCCTGTGTTCGTGGAATCAGTTACAGATACAACGTGCCGTTATGCAAAAGCCATGTGTTCTCTGGGACTTTTAAACCAGATGTTTAAAGGATGGTGCTAATAACACCAAATCTAGGGTTTTTTTTTCCCTCACTACTAATCACACACTACTTTACAGAATGGGTGCCCCAGAATGGGTAGTCTCATAGCTGCAGAAATGGCAACCACGACCTTAGCCAGCCATCTTAAAGATAGGAGCTGGGTGGGTCGAAGGAAAGGCGTACACATAGATTAGTGGAAGTTTATGATAAGAGTACTCTAGAAACAAGCCCAAAATACATATCCTACATTGTTATATTCCTAGAATTGAACAGACATTGTTATTCCTGATTTGGAGAGCTTAGATGGTTATGTCATTTTCTTTGGAATTAAGGTCAGCCTTGGTGAACTTGAAACTTGGTAAACTTTGGTCTACTCTGAGCTCACTTGACTTTGAGCATCTGCTTTTGTCAAAAAGAGCCTTGGTTCGGGAGGGGTAGGATACCCTGAGGTCTTTCATTTGTCTGGAATATGTTGTGTTGGGCCTAGCATTACCCAATAGACTGGGGTCAACCAAAATTGGATCCAGTTTTGGATACTTAGGAGATTGAATCACTGTTGCCATGTGAACTAAAACATTCGACTTTGTTGCTTATATGGCACTAACATGTTGCCTTTTTGATACTATGTTTTGTTATAGCTGTTCAGGATAAGCTTGACCAAATGGTTTTCATTTGGGAGAACATACACACACTGGTGGAAGAAAGGGAGGCCAAACTACTGGATGTAATGGAATTAGCAGAAAAGTTCTGGTGTGATCACATGTCATTGGTAGTAACCACTAAAGATACACAAGATTTCATCCGGGATCTAGAGGATCCTGGAATTGATCCTTCAGTAGTTAAACAGCAACAAGAAGCAGCAGAGGTAAGCAGATCTCCTTTAAAAATAAAATAAGTTGTGGTGTAATGAAACCTGGATTCCTCTGATAAATATTCAGAATTGCTCTATTTAAATTTATATTTCATTCTGAAAGTGGAATGCTTGGTGATGTAGTAGGATATAGGTTATACCCACAGATTTCACTTAGTACATATTTTTGAAGTTTCTCTTCATCCCCACTGCCTCTGCCTTATTTCAGGGCCTTTTTAGCTCCATCTTTTGGCTTCTGAAGTCCTCCAGAGTGGTGGCCCTACCTGCAGAGCTCTTTCCTTGCCAGGCCTGCAGGCTTGCCATCAGTCTTCTCTCCAGATCCACTCTCACCGGATCGCTGCTTCAAAACCCTCAGAGGCCTCTGCAGCCTCTTGCAACAGTGGACTGGCCTCTCGCATCCTCGCGTGGGCCAGCCTGTGTTTCCGAAGCCGTTTTGTCCTGCTGCTCCTTCATTAGAAAGGGGCTCCCCCAGCACTGGGGTGTGCACCTTCTGGTCTCTGTACTTTTGCATATTCGTTTCCTTGAGTGGAATGGCCCTATCCATTTTTATTTGTACACCCAATGCCCAGTTTAGGGCCTGTTTATGCTTCTTAAGTGTTTCTCAAACAAATAAATATATTTAACCAAGAAAATGAAGGCAAAAGTAAAACACTGCATTTTCCTTTCTTTTTTTTGTAGCTTACAAGTCCTAGGGAAATGACGTAAAATTTAATCCAGAGCTAGATTATCCTAAATCTACTAATGAGTATGTTAATTTGTATGAAGTTTTCAAACTCATACTTTACTTATATCTATTTTGTTGTGATTTTATTTTATTCTTTATGATTTACTCTTTGCAACTTTCACGTATACGGCACAGTAGTATTAACTATAGTCACCATTATATTTCCATGACTTCTTTCTCAAAAACTGGAAATTTGTACATTTTGACCCCCTTTGCCAATTTCTCCTTCTCCTGTCCCCTGACTCCAGCAACCACCAATCTGTTCTCTGTATCTGTAAGCTTGGTTTTGCTGTATGGGGAGGAGGTAGGGTTTTTTTAGATTTTTCTTTTTTTGATCACTTAACCTCCATGTTAAATGAATACTGCCAAACTGCTCTGTTTGAAAAACAAAATATGTTTCTACACTTTTCATTGTTATTAATATTTAAAGGAGCTGGTTTGTGGTATTTGTTACATAGAATTAATTTTTTAAATGTTTTCATGACAAACATTTGATGTCTGTTACAAAGGACACTTTTTTCTTTAAAATATTTCTTCTTATTGAAAAAATATATTGCAGAAGCTTGGAAGAGAGAAAGAAGAAAATTGATCATAACCCCACCTCCTAGAAATAAGTCTAATTAATGTCTGTGTGTATCTTTTTAGTTTCAGTGTGTTTTTGCTTAAAAAATTATTTTTTATTGTAGGCCATAAAGGAAGAAATAGATGGACTACAGGAAGAGCTGGATATAGTTATTAACTTGGGTTCTGAACTCATTGCTGCATGTGGGGAACCCGATAAACCCATTGTCAAGAAGAGTATAGATGAGGTACAACTAGCATATTTCCTTCTCTTGCTAGAATGCATTTTTAAAGAGATCTTGTATAACTAAAGCATATTTGATAGAAGTTGTTGAAAACTTAACAAATGATACTAAAAGAGTTCTAATATTTATGTTGTAGTTAAATTCAGCCTGGGATTCTCTAAATAAGGCTTGGAAAGACCGGGTGGACAAGCTCGAGGAGGCGATGCAGGCTGCCGTCCAGTACCAAGACGGACTGCAGGTAAGGGGGTCAAGGCGGGGCTGCCGGTGGGAGGAGGCCTGTGACTGAGGTCTGCAGAGGCCCACATAGACACCGCCCTAGGGCTGCCAGTGTGCAGGCAACTGCCTCGTCTACTGTCATTTGTGGTTTGCCTTCTAGAAGGTAGTTCTTGAGATCTGTGTAGATGTACAGAGACATCTAAGCATGTTTATACACGTGGCGAAATTTGCTTTGAAAAGAAAAATTTTACTGTTTAAAACATTGTAATGGTTTAGCACCAGACAGTGAGATGGAACCGCGTCAGAGTTCTGTTCTGAAGTTGAGTGGAGTAAGATGAAAGGAGTAAACACTATCTAAAAATATCACTAAGTTTAACTAAAGTCAGAAATAAAGAAATTTGATTTGAAGCCAGAGTTCCCCGTGAACTAAAATAGATTTCTGTTTTATTAGCTCATAATCTGTTGTGTAAAATGTAAAATGCTATTCTTCCTTTCCATATACATAATTCCTTTCCATAGTTGTTTTTCACATCCTGTAAGGGCTCTCCTTCAGTTTATTAACCATTTTTAAAGTTTTTTCTTTTTTCTTTTTTTTTTAAATGAAAAATCGCCTTGTCAGATGGGGCCAGCTCAGGGGCATGTCTCTCCCTACCTTCTTCAGTCTTATTCCATTTCCTAATAGGCTGGCCAACACTGAGTCTGTCAATCCTCCTACCGTATGGAAAAAGCCCTTCTGCGTATTTCCATAACCAAGTGAATATTATTTTTAAAGCTCAGATGAGAACATCTTTTCCTTTTTATTGTGCCATTTCATTTCTATATTTATAAAAATAAATATCACAAGCCAGGCTTTATGCCAGCTGAAAGTGTTTTGAACTTTGGAAATGTATGAAAAAATTCACTACAAATAATATCTTATATAACTCTACTCCTTCCCCCACTTTTTAACCAGAGAGATAATTTATTGGTTAGGTTTCAAAGGCCAGTAACTAATCAGGCTCCAGCCCTCAGTTTGTGAGACCAGATCATAATTTTCCTGACCTACTGGTGAGTGACTGAGTTGTGCCCTCTCCATGGCTAAGAGATGGCACTGCTGCCATTTGCAGACTGTTGGCCTCCAGAGCCATTAGCCAGAGGGGTCTGGCTAGGCACCAGGATTCATACTCTGTCCTTATCCCTGCTAGAAAAATAAGACCCACTGGAGGATAGTAGCATCACCTGTGGGAAATGAAGGGCCACTTGATTTATTAAATAGCTGGGGCTAGCTAGAGCTAGATCTTAAAGGTCCAGAAGCTCTAGACATTTCAGGGTTTGATTGTGAAGTAAAATAAATTTTATTTCCTGGTTTGCTGCTTAAGTTCTTGGGTTTATTAATGATAACCAAAAATACCAGATAGTTTCCGTCTATATGGTCTGGCAACGTTGTTAAAGTCCATTATGATTTTGTGTGTTCAGTATCTGAAAGAAATGTGAGTTGTGCCTTTCTGAAATGTTTGTATTACCTAACAAGAACAGGAAAAATAGATTGTGCAGTCTGTGCTGTAATTCAGAGTAATGGTCATAATATTAATCTCTGTAGGCACAGGATTTTAATGCTAATCTAAATAACATGTCAGGCTTTAGTTGGGCCAACTATTTCGCTCAAGTGCTAAACAATAAACTTTTTGCTAATTTGAATAAGCAGATGGATTTGAATCTTTTTCTTTCAGTATTTTTATATCATCTGCCTCTTAGACATAAGAAAGCATGGAGAATTCTATCTCATGTGTTGGAATTTCTAAAACTTTTTTTTCAGATGCATGTGTTTGAAAGTTCTTAGTATTCTAAGATTCTATTCAGAAAAGAATTTCCTTTGCAAACTTGGATGCAGAATTGGAGGTTATGTCTATTGCATATTTGGGACAACTTTTTCAGCATATTGTTGCTTTTATTTAGGTGAACCATCTTAATTGGTAAAATGGGCTCAATTCTTAATACCTGTATAGATTTATGATTGTACTTTTCTGTAACACTTGGGATGTTATAACAATTTCAGATGTATTGATAACTCGTGGACTAATGTGTTTTTCAGGCCGTGTTTGACTGGGTAGATATTGCGGGTGGTAAATTAGCTTCAATGTCACCAATTGGAACAGATCTTGAAACTGTCAAGCAGCAGATTGAGGAGCTAAAGGTATGTGTGGACTTCATTAATTTCAAAGACTGCATTTTATGTTCTTTATTCATAGGATTCTTTATGCAAATTTATTTTACGTAATTAGTTAACATTTTGATTGTGAAACTGGTTTAATAAGGTGCTTGTACAAAATGAGCAGCATGTAAATGCTCATTAAATGTTAGAAAATACCAGTCTTATTATTAAATCAGTCCCTGTTCATTATAGAAAAGTCAGAAAATACAAATGAGAAAAAAAAAAAAGTGGCTTTTTTAAAGCCACCCAAAATGTTATGTACCCAGAGGCAACTACTCTTAAGAACTGATTTCTAGCCTTTCAAATATCCTCCTGTTGGAAATGCAGTGAGGAGGGGGAGGTGCGGGTAGGGTGTGGGGGGTGTGTTTTATGCATATGTAGCTCAGACAATAGGGATTTTCATAACTTCATTATTCAGGAGTGTTTCATTGCCCTCAGTACCCATATAGCACCATTTTTGTTTTCTTCAGGGGGTCAGAGTAATCCATTTAGTCTAACAGGCTAAAGAAACATCCGAGGTCTAATAGTATTTCCCAAAATGTTTGTTTTGTAAAAATGTTTGTTGTTTTCTGTCTGCTTTCCTCTGTAATTTTTGCTTTTGTGGTTCTTGATCTCCAGCTGTGAAAATGGCTGGACTGTTTCCTCTTTGAATTCCTCTGTGCTGGTGATGATTTATCCAAGTGGGATCAGCTGTTTCCTTCCTAATTTCAAGTTTCCATCCACAGATACATCACACCATTTTCAATGAACTCTGCTAGATTTTTTTATATAGTTATTACCTGGGTTTAAAATTATAGCATTTTCATCTCTGAGTAAAATTTAGAATATTTCATTTAGAAATTATTATGGTTGCCATCATTAGATTGCAGTTTTTTTAACTATATGTGATCATGTAGTAAACACATGATATACTTTGTGTACATTCACAGGTGTACACTTTTGGATATTTACATATATCTCAATAGTTTTCATACAGCGGGCTGCTTAAGAGTGCTTTCTCTGAAATTAGATTGTCTGACATTACATCCCAGTGCTTCCACTTAGCCAGATACCCTTGGGACAGTTCTCTAACTGGTCTCACTTTTATGCCCTTAGCTTAAATTGAGAATAAAATTATTTTCTTTACAGGCTTGGTGAAAAGAAAGCACGTATTCATGATACCTTAGTTAGTATTTTTTAATTATTATTTTTATGCTTGAAAGGAATTAAGGGACTGTTTAGCCATTAATGACTTACTATTTAATGATTTACTATTACAGATTAAAAATAAATATTTTATGAAAGGACAGTCTCCTACAAGCAACCATTTGCTAACCTGTGTTGGTTGGCAATGCCAAGATTATTAAATACACGTTTAGTGAGTGCTGGGAGAGAAAATAATGTTATTCTGAGTCAGCAGTGGGTGAGGTGTAGGAATAACTATTAACACAGCACAGCTATGGAAAACATAAAATGTTCAGTGGATACAAGATGTGTATATGTTTTTGAGTAAGCAATGTTAACCTGGGTTTCTTAGAGATATTTTGGGGGAGTTTTTATTTTTTTATTTTATTTTCTATAATTTCAAAGCTTACATATTGAGTATATGTAGACATTAGAAATAAGATTAACCTTGTAATTTCTTACTTTTTTTTTTTTTTTTTAACCGTAGGGGACAAAAGTGTGAAATATCAAAATTATAAATAGAAATACCTTTCCATCATAAAACATTGAATAAAGAAAAAAGACTTCTCATCTTTTCAATTTATAATTCTTTTGTGTTAGATTTTTATTTCTCTTCACCTCCCTGACTATAAGAAGTACGAATTAGAATAAATATTGAATCCATAGATTTTTTTGTTTGAAGTTTTGATTTAAAACAAATTTCCTTTATATCTTTTTTTTTTTAATAGCAATTTAAGTCCGAGGCCTACCAACAGCAGATAGAAATGGAGAGACTGAACCATCAAGCAGAGCTTTTGCTGAAGAAAGTAACAGAAGAGAGTGACAAACACACTGTTCAAGACCCATTAATGGAGCTGAAATTGATATGGGATAGTCTGGATGAAAGAATTATCAACAGACAGGTAAACCCTGACACTTTCATTTAGAAGTTAGAAAAGTTCAAGTTCATATATTAAGGTAAAATCGTTATTAAAAGAAATTAGATAATTAAGTACCTAAACTTTCAAAGCCCCTAAAGTCTTATTTTATTAGAATTCTTCCTGTTTCTCACATGACTTTTTTAACCACAAGGGATTTCAAACTGGATATGTTGATTGGGCTTCATTGGATATGCTTTCAATTGATTTTTTTGCCTTTGTTACTTTTATAAAGGTATGTCATTCATAATATCGAATTCATATGGCTTTTCTTCCTCTTCACTTTCTTTGTAGCATAAGCTGGAGGGGGCTCTGTTAGCCCTGGGCCAGTTCCAGCACGCCCTGGATGAGCTGTTGACCTGGCTGACGCACACCGAGGGCCTGCTCAGTGAGCAGAAACCTGTGGGAGGAGATCCTAAGGCCATTGAAATTGAACTTGCCAAGCATCACGTATGTAGCTGCGTGTCGTGTTTCTCTATGCATTTTTAGTGCCATCAGATTGTTTCTGGTAGGTTTCCTCTTGATGGATTTTTCAAGTTTATGATTTTAGCACAGTTCACATTTGACGTTTGTAACTGACAATTAAGCTACTTAAAACACAATTTTTAAAAGATCATGATCAAAATTTTTTCTCCGTGGTTCAAGGCAGTCGTCAAGAACAGCAAGAGTAGGAAACTTCTGCTGAAGTTTTAAGGCTGCATGGCAAACATTGGTTTAAATCCCTGACCGTCCTTGTCACTGGATTGACGTGGGCTAGTTTTAAAGGTTGTTGGGGAAAGCCTACAAGTCATAGCCTCGAAATGTTCCACTGCAGGCTGTGTGTGTGTTTTCCCTCTGGTCACCCTTATCTCCGTGTATCTCACCTGCTGCTTGTTTGGCACGTTGGACATCTTTTCTGTTTGCCTATATGTCTCTCACTAGGTGGGAGTTTGCTCCATAGTGTCCATGTCTCCCTTAATTCCCACTGGCTTCCTGTGTCTTTAGTCTTTTTCTTTCTGAATCAGTCTTTAATAATATTTATTATATTTACAAGGGTTTTTATATGTCTGCACTTGTTTAAAGCTTTAAATTAAAAATTTTAATCTTGAGATACATTCAGAACAACTTTATATTGTCATCTTTGTGACATTTGGTTGACAGTTCTTAATAAAGAAAATTCCCTATCTCCTTAGAGCCCGAGGGGTTAAGGGAACAAGAAAGCATGGAGCTGACCACAGTGGGCCCCGAACTGAAAGCAGGAGGCATCTTTTGGGCTTTAGATGATCTCCAGCCTAGGTCATCAGAGCAGACCTCACAGGGGTTGAGAGCTGATCTCTACCTTATTATGATAAAGTTCATTTGTCTAGAAAAATAAATCCTGAAACCCAGTTGTTAGAATCTTTGTGCAAATGACCAAAGCTATTGACTTGGCCAGGAAAAGTGAGATACATTTTTTTTTTTTTTTTTTCAGAAAAAAAAAAGAAAAAAGAAAAAAAAATTTTCTATCTCTTAAGTCAGTAGGCTTAATGAATAACAGGTTATGCTCAGTAGAGTTTATCCTGACAGTCAACAGTCTTTCATAGAACTTTAGCATTCACATTAATAGAAGCATCTTACCTAAGGTTAGGTCCTAAATTCTGACCATATATAAGTTTTCCTTGATTATCAAATAGTAAATGTTTAATAATTTTACATGTTTATTATATTAAAATGAAAGGTTTTTGACACTTTAGTGTCACGATAAACAGTTTTTTAGTATTCTTGGTTCAGTGTTCCTTCTTTCATACATCTCCCTATAGTAATTGTACTCTAATTTAAATTTCTCTCCTGCTTGGGGTGCTTGGGTGGCTCAGTCAGTTAAGCATCAGCTTGGTTTCAGTTCAGGTCATGGTCCTGGGGTCCTGGGATCACGCCCCATGTCAGGGCTCTGTGCTCAGCAGGGCTCCTGCGTCTCCCTCTGCCTCTGCCCCTTAGCCTCACACACTCTCTCTTCCTACATCTCTAAAATAAATCTTTAAAAAACATTTCTCTCTATGCGGTCTATATGGTCATATATAGTCTATATAGTCATTGCCCAACCATATCTGATTAGGCAGTTAGGACTTACTTTGAATCATTAATTTTTTTTAATTATTTAATGTCTGTCTTAAACCTTTCTTAAAAGCAGTAATGACTAGTCAGACTGTCCTGCATGAAAATGTGTTTATTCCCATGGTGTGAGTTTATATAGGATTTACATTTTCATAAACTTAGCAGTTGTCATTAAAAGCAACGTACATCGGTGACAGGAATTTTCTAGAATATAGTAGCAGTGGGGACATGACAGACCCTGATGCAGTTATTTTGGCAAGGTATGAGTAGGGATCTTTTAGTTCTGTTTATCTATCTGTGAGGAGTTAGAAAGGTCTCCTTCTCCCTTCTCCTTCCATTTCTTAAAGGTCAGAAGTGAAAGGGCTTAAAATCACCAGCCCAGTTGCTAGAAGAAGGGAAGGAATGTTTCCATCCCTCTCCTTCTTGCTTCTCTGGTGCCTAGGCTCTGCCTTATGTAGCAGGAGTTTGACCATTCAGAAGAATGAATTTTATAGATCTACCTTTATACTTTGACCACAGGAATATTTAACTCTTAGCTCTGAAAGTGATTAGTATTGTTAACCTATCAAAGTACATGCTTTTTATAAAGATCCCTCCTTTTTAAGAATTATTAAGACATGAAAATTAAGTTCAATTAGAATGACTATGAATCAAATGAAAACATATAGAACCTTTTAATTATAGTCTCCAGATATTTAATGTCCTCAATTTGCAAGGTTATCCTAATGCAAAGAACTAACAAAATGTTCTTACATAATCATTTCAGGAGCTATTGCTAGACTAAGGGTATATCCAGGAAAGCTGCAAAATTAAGGGAAAAGAAGGCCACCATTTTAACACTTTCTTGTATTAAAATTCTCTGCATATGTTTTTGCTTAAGAATGTTTTATACTCAGCAAATTAAAGTTGCATGAAAAGCGATGTTAACATGTGATGAGCTAGTAAACATAGTGTTATCTTAATATTTTCAGGTGCTTCAAAATGATGTATTAGCCCATCAGTCCACAGTGGAAGCTGTTAATAAAGCAGGAAATGACCTAATTGAATCAAGTGCAGGAGAAGAAGCAAGTAGCCTTCAGAACAAGCTAGAGGTTTTAAATCAACGCTGGAAAAATGTTTTGGAAAAAACAGAACAAAGGAAGCAGCAGCTGGACGGTGCCTTGCGCCAGGTGAGTAAGAGTAAATTCTCAAACGTTCATTGTCCTGCAGGACCAAAATAGCATGGAATTCTGGGGCTCCTGGGTGGCTCAGTTGTTTAAGCGTCCACTCTTGATTTCAGCTCAAGTGGTGATCTCAATGTCTTGGAATGGAACCCTGCATCAGGCTGTGCATTCAGTGGGGAGTCTGCTTGAGATTCTCTCTCTCCCTCTCTCTTTGCCCCTCCCCCACCCCCCATGATTTCGCTCTCTTTCTCTCTCTCTTTCTGTCCTTAAAATAAATAAATAAGTCTTTATAAAAAAAAGTAGCCTGGAATTCTTTGATTGGTTTGCAGACCCTCATTTGATTTTTATCCCTCAAGGAGAGGAGTAAAAATAAGTGGGATAAAGAACAGAGCAGATGAGAAGACAGCCCTCTGGTTCTTAGTGTAATAGTCTTATCTGCTAGGGCTCTCATGAGGAAAGGCAGACAAATCCATTTGCACCTGCCTGTTCTTAAGAATGCGTGGAGAGGCTTAGCAGGCCGGGATTGTTTAAACCTTGTTTTCTGTTAGAAAGTGACAATGTGTTTACGGCCCAGCCTTAAAACTCTCTATCACTCCAGGCCAAAGGGTTCCATGGTGAGATTGAGGATTTGCAGCAGTGGCTAAAGGACACGGAGCGTCATTTGTTAGCATCCAAGCCGCTGGGAGGTTTACCGGAAACAGCCAGGGAGCAGCTTAATGCCCACATGGTAAGTCTATTATTTCCTACACCTGTGGCCTCCGATTAAGACCCTGACCAGTTGGTGTGGGCCCTGGTGCTAAATAAATTGTGGGAGAAGGTTTAAAGGATATACAGTTTTATAGCAGAAATCTTTGTGTGTAAGTGCTAGAAAAACCATTTACTGATTAAAATTTTCAAGTCAGAAACTATTCTTTATATCAGAGATTAGTGCGTCAGTATATGAAGAAAGGTTTTAGAAGTCTAGACATTTTTTTAGAAGCAAGCTTTTCCCCATAAAATGATGAGCTTGTATGGATAGTAACACAGCATAGTGTAAGTCTAAACTGTTGTATCTTGAGTGAAAAGAAGAATTCCTAAAGTAATTAGAATTGACTTTAAAGCTACTGCTGTAAGCATTATACTCCCACCTCATTGTCTGGAAGGCAGGAAAGTATGTTCTTGTTCTGTTCAAGAGTTACTTATTTGTTGTAATGGTGTTCACACTGTATCTTCAACTTCACACCTATAGTAGCTATGGACCAACAGGAGGCTTCTGCTAATTATCCAATTGGAAGCATTGTGCCTGTGGGCTGTTCCCACCCAGATTCTATGGCACTGTCAATTCTTAAAGATAAGGATGAAAAAAATAATGAAACTCGGGACTCTGGCTTTCTTTCACAGAAATGTGGACTGACAAATTAAATTTAGACTTTAATTTATTGACATTTCCTATTCATTTACATTGTAACTCAGCTTTAGAAGTTCTGAAAGAAAGGAGTCTTTCAGATTTTGAAAACTAATCGTTTTATGTACTTGCGAATTTGCATCAGAAAAATTTTTTAATATTCGAATGCTAATAATTAGTATTTGGGAAATAAAAGTACAGGTACTTAGGAATCAGGCATAAGAAATGGGCCATTATACATTAAAGCCTGTCGTCTTTATTGGATGTAGAGTGTTGTTGTAAGAGCTTATTGAAAAGGCACTTGGTTGTAAATAATTTTGAATTTGGTGCTTTGGAGAGGAAGTAACCGTCCTTGTAGGTATTGTGAAGAAATGTGACAGAGGTAGCATCTTACTCAGTTGCTGTGAGCAGTTAAAATCAATTCTATCAATCCAGTATAGAATTTCCTAGAAACCTTTAATGTATATTCATTGTTCTAGAAAATTACTGTGTATGTGGTTTTGTTGTTGTTACTGTCATTTTTTTGGTGCCACAGGGGACCCATTTGTTTCATTGAAAAAATAATTGACTAGTAACTTGGCAGTGCTTGTGTTTTCCTTTTCCATAAAACCTAACTGACTTTCAGATACTTCTTACTTTCCTGGAACTACCTTCATAGTTAATCAGGGACAATGTCCATTAAGTAGACGTTTAATGACTTCTTAAACTAACATACTTGGGATTATTCTCTAATAACAAATAGTTTTTAAATGTTGATTTAGGAGAATATAGTAAAAAGGTGGAAAGCAAAGAGCTTATCTTAGAAATACTTTACTTTTAGAAAAATATTACTGTACATATCCACTTACTTGGTTTGAGTGAGGTATTGAAAATGAGTTTGCTTAACCCAGTAGAGTTGTAAATTCCATGATTTAAGGAATTCTAAACAGTTACAGGTACTTGTTTATATCATTTTAGTAATACTCTTTTGATTTGGTTGTGTTAGAAATGAAGGAAACTAGAAAACCTGGAATATTACAGTTTCCTGAGATTTAGCTGTATTTAAAAGTTTTGCTTTAGGATTAAAGGCTTTTGGTAGGTGATATTATAACTATGTTTAGAAAGTTTTTTGGGTTTTTCTTTTTTTAGGGCTTAAATTACAAAGTTTTGAGAAAATAAAAATGTTTTGGAATTAGTAGTAATGCTTGTACATCTTTGTGAATACATTAAAAAACACTGAATTATGCACTTTAAAATAGTGAATTTTATGAATTATATCTCAGCTTTAAAAATTATTGAACTATGTTAGTTGAAAATGTTGAAAATATTAGACACAGGATGTATTTTTTAATAGGAGCTGTAATTTGACCCATGTTAAAATTGAACTAACGAAAGAGAGCTGGTCTTAGGTTTTTACATGAATGTAACTCTTTTGTGTTATTGATACTAAATTCTGAATTTGCCTGCATAATTTTTTAATATTCTCTGTAGAAGGAACACAACTTCATTGCAATTGAAAGCTTTAAAAATTCTATAAATGAGAGTAGTATCCATAGTACCACAAGTTTGTCTTTTTTAATTCCAAAGTCTGAATAACCGGCTTCAAATCTCTTACTGTATTGGGTCTCTATTTTCTATTCATCGTTTGTCTTCTGAGCACAGAATTAACTTATACTAAAAATTATTACAGCCATTGTATCACAGTCTGAGGAGGGACTTAGAAAATCCATTTTACAGAGGAGGAAACTGAGGCCCAGAGAGGTTAAATTACCCACTCAGGGTCACAGACCTGATTGGTTACAGTGCAGTGAAACCTTTCTGGAAAACATTTAAAACATTACTTCATAAACTTTAGCATGCTGGAATGGACCGATAATGATAGCACCATTTCTGAGCTTTCTGGCAGACAGGATTATGTCTACAGGTTTAGGTGTTGTTTCAGTACAGTGAAAAATTTGAATGTCAGGGTTATTCTGGGTTGGATAGAGGTGAATATAGGATAAGGGGCTTGGGATTGATGACCTCGAAAAAGGAACTCTTGGATTTTATTCTCTTAAAAGTGATATAACTTGGGGGGATATCTCAATTTAGGAAATCTGTGCTGCCTTTGATGTTAAAGAAGAAACATACAAAAGTCTGATGCAGAAAGGCCAGCAGATGCTTGCAAGATGCCCCAAATCTGCAGAGACAATTGACCAAGACTTAAATAACTTGAAAGAAAAATGGGAATTGGTGGAAACCAAGCTCAATGAAAGGAAAGTATGTGCTTTAATTAATGTCCTAGAATGATCATTTTAGTTGTTTTATTTTGTGGGCTTTACTTTATCTCCGAGTAGAATTATCAGTGGAACTTTTAATGATCTGTGTTTAAATTTTCTTTGTATACATATGGAGGTTTCATGGGGTCAGTTGGAAATAATATTCTCTTTTAACATGGGAGAACAGAGTTAAAGCAGTCTAGTCAAACAGATCATATATCAAGTGTTACTAGGTATATTTTTAAATTTGTGAACCACACTGATTCTGGATAGTTAAATAATTCTAATCACACTTATTTAGGTATGTAGTGGGAAGGGAAAAAAGGAGGGCAAGAGAGCAATTTGATTGTATATATAATAAGCACTTCCATAATAAAAGTCATGTAAAGGGATTAAAATTATCAGTGTTTAATGCTATCAGAGAAATGATAGGCTAGGAATACTAGATTGTGTGCCCTCACTGACAGAGCGTAATGTGCATATATTTCTTAGTACTTTGACCCCCAACATTAATCATGTGAATGTCAAGTTTTCTTTCTACAGATTCTGTTTAGTAATTATGTTCTGTGATATTCTGTGGTTAATTGCCCCCAAATCACAATTTTAGTTTGTATTAGATTTTTTTTTTTTTAGCTGCAGTGAGATCTTCTCACTATACTGAAGGGAGTTTGGTTTGCCAGTATTTTAGTGAAAGCCCATTACATTCATAAACTGTTTAGGTAATACAGAAATACAGATTAAGTACAAATAAAGTGTGGATGGGAAGGAAATCTGCCAGAGAGTGGTTAAACTGGGGCAAGGGAGGGGGAATTAAATATCACCAAATACTAAATAATCTGTCTTCGCAGACTAAACTGGAAGAGGCCCTCAACTTGGCAATGGAGTTCCACAATTCTCTCCAAGACTTCATCAACTGGCTAACCCAGGCAGAGCAGACCCTAAATGTAGCTTCTCGGCCAAGTCTTATCTTGGACACCGTCTTGTTTCAAATCGATGAACACAAGGTATGTTGTACTCACATGGCTAGCATTCTCATTTCAGGCCTTTTTGGACAACACACTGTTTTAATGTCAGAAGCATGAACTTGGTGGTTTGAAAACTTTATTTTATCCTTTAAAATGGTTTGAGCTTTTGGTTTGACACCAAAAGCATTTTTAAGATAAACAGTTTTGTTTTGTTTTTTTAAAGATTTTATTTATTTATTTGACAGACAGAGATCACAAGTAGGCAGAGAGGCAGGCAGAGAGAGAGAGGAGGAAGCAGGCTCCCCGCTGGCAGAGAGCCCGATTCGGGGCTTGATCCCAACACCCCGAGATCATGACCTGAGCCAAAGGCAGAGAGCCAAGCACCCCAAGATAGAATAGTTTTCATTTGTTTCTAATTCTACCTTTTTTTTTCCCTTTGGTAAAGGTCTTTGCCAATGAAGTAAATTCTCACCGTGAGCAGATAATAGAGCTGGACAAAACTGGAACCCACCTGAAATATTTCAGTCAGAAACAAGATGTTGTCCTAATTAAGAATCTATTGATCAGTGTCCAGAGTCGATGGGAAAAAGTGGTTCAACGGTTAGTAGAAAGAGGAAGATCTTTGGATGAGGCAAGGAAGAGAGCCAAGCAGGTAAACTTTTATAAAACTCTCTGAACTTGGCAATCAATCAGTTCTAGGTGTTGAAATACATATCATGTTGTTAAAAGTACTTTTGTTGCAAGCTGTATTCGTTGTAACAATTGTGGCACAAGGCCAAGGTGTTTATTTCCTAAAAGGGCTGTGGCCTGAGTTTCAACGGTGACATCACTCTTTGCCCTGGCAGCACCTTCCGGTCCTGAGGACTGATCTTGAAAAGACTGATTATAGCTTGGCTTCATAGACTAACTGTTATCATTAAGGTCCAAAAAGAGGCTCAGATTTTTTGCTGTGAGTTCGGTTTGTTGGTTTTTCCCTTTGTTCTTGCAATCTCTACTCTCATACTCAGACTAAGTCATTATACTTTATTAAATTGCTACCTTGTGTTTAGCTTCTCAGCCAGACTTTGTCCACAGACTCTCAGGGCCGAGAGGGGGACACTTGACCCTCTAGGCAGCTTCCTGAAAGGGCAGATTCTATGTCTGAGCTGGCAGGTTCTCCTCACCTCTCTGAATCTGTACCCTTGTTGACAGGCTGTCGTTTCTTCTCTAGTATTTTGGTGCAGTTCCACACTGCTTTTAAATTAATTGTCTGAAACTTTTAGGGCTGTTTTATTTTTCCTTTTTTGTTTAAGCTAGACAATCTGGAAAATCTCACAAGGAACGCCCCTTCCTATCTTCCCCTGTTATTAATATTCCATTCCTAGACTAAATACAGAGAAGAGGTAAAATTCCGTGTCTCTGTGCTCCAGGGAAGAGAGAGATGCACCTGCCTTGGTTGGCATAGATCTTTGAATTTTGCTAGAAACTCAGTATAATGTTGAGGCTGAATTTTCTAATGACTCTTTTTGCCCCATTTAGTTGCATTTTTCTGTAATTGGCATTTCACTCCATTCTTCTGGGGAGCCAGGCTCCGTCGGGTGATATAGAAGATGTCATGGGAGTCACATGTTTCAGTGTTTAACGCTCTCAGCACAAATTTGTTAAAAGCTTTAGAAATGACAAATGACATTGTTGTAGGATTACATGCTGTATTGCTTCTTTTTGAGGCGGATATATGATGTGTTCAGTGTTATCAGTGAGTCTGGAATAGAATCAGTGCCTTACTGTGTTTTTTAAGACAGTATTAATGATAAGCCTGAAATCCTCCTCTCCACCAACATAGCAGTATCCTCTGTGATGGGGGCATTGCTTGACTTACAAACATCTAGTTTATAAAAGTGTTTGTCCTTTCTCCATGCTGTCAGTTCTGTTTCCTCATTTTGTTTAGTCTGTAAGGTTTTTCTGCTACTTTTTGGGTGCAAAAGTATAGCATTTCCTCTATTTCTGTGGCTTAAAAATAGTTTTTAAAGGAGGACCAGCCTTAGAATCTGTGCCTTTGTACCATTAAACTTGCCATCCGTGATAGCAAGACTACCAAACACTGTGACTATTTCTTTATTTCTTATCATTCTAACATCTTAGTTTGGGTTCGGATGTGGATCATAGTCCTCTGACTTTGGCAGTTTCTGTGCCTCTTCTGGCCTCTGTATTTTCATTTTTAAGTTGATCGGAGTTGTCAGAAGGATGTGTCGGGGGATAGGTTTGCAGGGAGGTGACCTCATCGGGCCCTGTCAGCCTTGTGATCCCGTGCTCTTTTTCTTTATTGCTATGTCTCTTTTTGTTATTCCATTATTAATGTGCTTTGATATAAAACAGACTTTATTTTGATGACATCAGTTTTTTGTTATGTATCTGTCCACTTAAGTTTATTATGAGAAATTACTTATGACCAGTCTCACAATTTGGTATCCCAAAATAGTATTCACTAGTTCTCTGTGATAAACAGAAAAGAGACCATGGCTGAAATCAAGTATACGTAGCCCCAGAATAGTGCAAGGTCATAGATGCCAAGGAGAATTATGTTTTCTTAGAATTCACGTACGGTGGGTGCTCTTACATATAAACCAGTACATGAGGCACAGGCATGAATTTGAGGATTCTGATAGCAGCAGTAAAGGTACTGAACTCCCTTTGTATTAAGTAGGAATGGTAAGGCCTTTGTTGTTGTTGTTCTTGTTACTTTTTAGGACCGATTTATACACTTTATCTTTCGTCCCTCCCTTTTTGTTCCTTTTCCTTAACATGGGAGTGAAATACCTTAGAAGTAGACCCAAATCTGTCAGTGAGGGCAGTGGACAAATAAAATTCTCTTGACAGTTTATGTTAATTACTAAGCAAAAGGAAAGGGAGGTAAGTTCTCCCTGGTGTTTGCTGTTTCTAAGCTCATTTCTGTTTTTGTTAAAGTTTATGTGTTTGGATGAGTTACAACAAAGTGACCATGGTGGGGTCACAATCACAGAAGTCAAGAGTTAATAAGACATTTGTAATCCGATGAAGGCACTGTTTTCTTCTTTTTTAGGGGAAATTTGAATTAATTTTAACATTTTCATTAATTTCTATATATCGTAAGCATACCAGAAAATTTTCTGGACAGAAATGTACATTTCTTTTACAGTTTCATGAAGCATGGAGTAAACTTATGGAATGGCTAGAGGAATCAGAACAGTCTTTGGATTCTGAGCTGGAAATTGCCAATGATCCAGACAAGATAAAAACACAACTTGCACAGCATAAGGTGGGTCTGTAATTAAGAAAAGCATATATACCATTCTTTATCTCAAGATCACTTTTAAATTCTTATTTGGTTGTGTATTTATTCATCACTAGGGCGAAGAAAAGGCCATCCAATATGGACCTCCATTAAATTTAAAACCGATTGCTGTTCACATTGGTCAAGTGGCAGTAGTATCTTTTCTCTCTGCTGACCATTCCCCTATGATTCTAGGGTCAATTGTTAAAATAAAATATAGAAAATTAAAACTGGAAGTGTTTTATAACCTATAACATAAAAGATTTATAGGAGTTCAAATGTTGGCATTTTAGTTTTTCACATGTCTGTCTTGTAATTTCTTTCGTAGATCAAATGCCATGTAGAAGATAATTTTATAGCAGAAAGTACTGTAATTTTTGCCATTAGGTTCTCTCAAACAATTTAGTGGGGTAAATTGGTTGCCTCTACACAAACTGATACTTTATTATATATATGTGGTATATGAAAGTCCATCCTTATCCTCAAAGACTTGGTGGCTTCCTTATGTAGACTAGAAGGTATAGAAGCATAGTATTTTATATTTTCTACCTTTTTTATTCATACCACACGGCATTCAAAGAACATTCCCATTCTCCTCAACTCTTTGAATTTGGGTCTGTCATTCTGGTTATAAAGTGATATCAGCCCTCAGGGTAAGGATATGGGTAAAAGAGAGTGGGTCCTGCAAAAACACGTTTATCATTTTAAGTGTCTACATATATTTTATTGCTTGAAACGTGATCATTTTTAAAAAGCTGAGAAAAATTGGGGTGATGTGGGGCTTATCATCCACAGAGAATTCTAGCCATCCTCTTCATAAAGGTCAGTTGCTTCTCTGGGTGGTTCTAACAGAACTCAGGAAGTCATGATCCTAGGAGCACAGAAGGAGACATTGAGCACCTGTTCTTTGACTAGATGAGGACAACTGAGTGGCTTGTTCTGCTGGTACTGTCTGCCCTTGAGCTGCCGCATTCAATATTGACAGCACAATGACAGTGAGCAGCATCTTTTCTTCCCTTCGGATGGAAAAAAGAGAGGCTCCCTCTCAAAATACAATGCCTGTTTGAACTTGAACTTAGTTGTCATGTCATGTAGTCTTATGAAAGTGTATTGTGTATTCAAGTTGGAGAATCCTAGAAATAAGAATATGTGAAGAACCCTGGTAGATTGTCTGTTGTTCCTAGTGTGACTTGTTGCCAAAGTCAACTTTTGTCTGAGACAAAGGTACAAGATACATTAAGCCAATTTTAAACATCTTTTCTGTTCATCTTTTAGGTATTTTTCTGTTTTTAAATAAGTTTTGATCTGCCTTGTATTCAGCTATAACATTATTTATGTATCTGTTCTTTCGGAAAAAATCTTTCAGTACAATGATTCTAAAACTAACATCCTGTTATTGGATAACAAGAAAAAAATAATTACAGAAAACAAACTACAGAAATAGTATGGTATTGTAATGGTGTTTATTGCTTAAAAATTCCCAGATGAAGTGGCTTCCTATTATAAGACAAAATAAATATCTTAGTTCTGTTAAGAAACTTAGAGTGTTTAGCTTTTAAGGGAAATAAAAGCTCGTTAGGTAATTATAACCAAGGTTATTTTGGAAAATTATACATTTGCATAGCATTTTATTGTCTAAGGTGATTCTCATGTGCTTATCAGGGTTTAGAATCACTGTGGTGGTGTTTCCCTGATGTATTATGAGCTTGTTAGGTTGACCTTCCTTCCTTCCCATCCCTGAAATTGTATATTCAATAGCAGCTGTCTCATTCTTGCTATTAGACACTTACAAACACACATGAAACATAAGGTGATAATGAGATGCCTGCAAAGACAATGTCCCTGCCCTAGAGAAGCTTGTACCTGAGTTGTGTACAGAATATAATCCATCCCTCCCACACATACACATTTACATGCACAAACATGCAGATTAACAGTGTAAAAATGGCAAAGTATAGATGTCACATTGGCAACATGGCTATTTGGTACTGGAAAAGTAATCTGTAGATCCTGTGAGACTTTTGGAAGGCATCATAGAGGCGAGGAGGAGAGGGGTAGACTTGCCAAGGGGTGTGACTGGAATGAGCAGTAGGTCAGAACGCAGGAATCTTGAGATGTGGTTCTTCTTTGTCCCTCATCCTGGCTCACAGATGAAATTATATGTACCATCATTGTGAACATCCAATGTGTGACAACAGATCTCTCTGACCAAAAACCAAAACTCTAGTAAATTCACAGATTATGAGTCACTCTATGTCCACCATAGGTCCTTCAGTTACTCATTGAGTGTTAACTACTTTTTCCTTTCCAAACTCCTGGGTTTTTCAATAGGCGATTAGCAATTTCATTGTATTATAACTCGTATACTGTTTGTGGTTTATAGCTATAAAAGATTCAAGATTTGTTTTGCTTTGAAATTACTGTCTTCATAATAATAGGTACTTTCAAAGCCACGTGGCTTCTGAGAAAAGTAAACTCTTCAGTTTATAAGGATTCTTTTCCACCCTGGTGCATTCCACTGTCTGACTTGATCATTTGCTGATGTCTTCCTCTATTAAGACTCCATTTATTAGGGGCGACTCTCTTAACTATTTCTTAGCCCCAAGTAGAAATGCACACTGTTTTCTTGTTAAATGTATAGGAGTTTCAGAAATCACTTGGAGCCAAGCATTCTGTCTACGACACCACCAACAGAACTGGACGTTCCCTGAAGGAGAAAACCACCCTGGCTGATGACAACCTGAAACTGGATGACATGCTGAGTGAACTCAGAGACAAATGGGATACCATCTGTGGAAAATCTGTGGAAAGGTAACATGTCCTGTAGGGTAGTCTGGTTACCTTGTAGGTTTCTTTCAAGTGTACAATAGTGATGCTTTGTAGGAACATTCTAGGAACCTTAAATTCCTCCTTTGCCTGGGAACTTCTGGTCATCTGTAATACCCAACTTACACAGTCCCTGCGCCCAGAAGGCTTGGTTGTTCATTATTATTTATTTTTAATTACTTGATTCACTCAAAAGTAGTATTACTCTCCAAGCCTGTCATCTCATACCTGACTTCTCTCAGGTCTCCCCAGGTCTGCTCTTGTCCTCCTTAATCCAGTTTTCCCATAAGTAGGAGGATGGTCTTTTTAAAATATGAATGGGGTCTTGTCATTGCCCTGCCTCATACTTTTTAGGAACTTAATACTGAGTGTGAACCAGAACACAGGCTCCTTAGTGTGACGGGCAAGGTCTTCCCAATCTGACCCTGGTGTTCCCTTCCAACTAACATCTATCCCTTTCTAGTCTTCTTTCTCATTATACTTGAACCATAAAGACCCAAAACTAATTTCTAAGTCTTTAAGGATTTAGAAAGTACCATTGTAGTAGAAGAGTTCAAATATCTTAGAAATGTTTTCAAACAATTCATAGATCCTTGGTTTAATTACTTTTGTCAGTATCAAGATTAAATAGAATATGCTAATAATAAAATTATATTAGAATAGAAAATTAGAATATAGTCTACAGAATACATAGGAAGAATATAGAAATTTTGCTGTTTTTAAAAATCCTTAAAACCTTCCATTTCAAAAGGTTATATGCTTTTTACAATGTCCTATAAATGATTTCATGGCAGGCAGACACCCAAATGCCAGGGGTTGGAGATGGGGCAGGTTGTGACTACAGACAGCATGTGGGAGGTTTAGGGGATGACGGAACTGTTCTTTCTTAATTATGAGATGGTTACATAAATCTCTACATGTGTTACAATTCATGGAACTGTACACTCAAAAAAGTCAAGTTCACTGTATGATAATTTAAACCAAAAAAATTTTACGGCTTTTTTTTTTTTTTTTTTTTTTTAATGAAGAAACTGAAAGATCACTGATTTCTAGAGGTGATAATGAAGGAATTTTACAAGAACAGATACGATCTACTTAAGGACTAAAAAAGAAAATTTGAGAAAAGTTTTGTTATTTTCTAAAGAAGGCAAAGAAACACACTGAATATACCTGTATATTATTTTTTTCTTTGACCACTGCCCAGCCTTTATAAATGGAATTTAGATATTCGGGTATTTGGGTGGCTTTTCTGTTACTCAGTCTGATTTTTCCACCTTTTTCCCCAGACAAAATAAATTGGAGGAAGCCCTGTTATTTTCTGGACAATTCACAGATGCCTTACAGGCCCTCATTGATTGGCTGTATAGAGTTGAACCCCAGCTGGCAGAAGACCAGCCTGTCCACGGAGACATTGATTTAGTGATGAATTTGATCGATAATCACAAGGTATTATTAACTGGGACATTTTATTGATCTCATTTGATTATCCTGAATTTAGAGGAAACTGTAACCCCTTATCTTAGCCTTTTAAAATATAGAGACTATATATCATAATATGTAACAGTCTTTAGTACTGATATGTGTGTGCTTTAAGCAGAATCAGGAAGCCAACTTTAAAAGTGATACAGGAAAATTAGTATCAGTGAGATACTTTTTTTTTTTTTTTTTTTTTTAACAATTTCTAGATCTAAAACCTTTTAGAGTTCTCTGGTGCTTTAAAACATGTTCCAAGAATGTTTTATAGTCTTTTGTTATTCATATAAATAATTATGTAATTTAAAATCACTCCCTCAGTGACCTGGAACTTGGTCATTCCATAAGTGTATGGATTTTTGACATTATCTACAGGAGTGAAGATAGGCTACTTTTCTGTTTTTAAAGACCATTTTATCCTTGCCCCTTGAACTCTAGCAATTTGTGAGATATCAGCATAGGCTCTGAGGGATTCGATTATTACTTTAAGTCAAGTGGTTTCCTGGCAAACTCCTGAGATGGATTTAAATTTTTTGTGCCAATCAAAGGGAATATTCAAGACATCCCACTGATATTGAGTGCAAGGTCCGAAATTATGGTAAAATGTTATGTTACAACTTAAAGAACCTCAAAAACAACCTGAGGCACAGTAGTAATGTGGGTTGGTTGTACCAGAGTAGACTTTATATACAAATATTTCACAGCACTGTATTTTACAGCACTGTTTTATTTCTCCTCTCTTATGTTTGAATTAGAAAATTTATTTCATTTTAAAATGTTTTCTTCATACTTGTCTCGTTACGCTATTTTGATCTTAACCTGTTCCTTTTTAAATAGTTGGTGCTTTTGCATATTTATTTCCCCTTTTTTAGTTCTGTTATCTGATTATAAAAGAGAGTTTGTTACATTTAAATATTATTTACAAATCAAAGAATAGATGAAGAACTGTGATTGGGCCTACAAAAAGAAAAAAATTTGAGTTTTGTTGCTTTGCCTGTATTGAAACAAATGTTTTGTGCATGATTGGTACAGACTTTTTCATTCCTTGGCATTCATTCAATGAGTAATGAATAGTGTAATGTTACTTTTTACATAAATGCCATTTGTATAAACTCACTGTCTAAATATTTACTCCCTTCAGCACTTGCCAGGTTTTTTTATATATTAAAGGTTATCAAGAATGAGTTAATCATTCAGCATTAGTAATATAATTGGAAGGCTCAGGAAGTTTAAGTTCACCAAGTACATTGGAAAGTCAGCTCAGGACTATCGGGCAAGTCCTATCACAAACAGATTACACAGATGCTGTATTTTTGATGCCTGTGTGTGTGTGTGTGTGTGTGTGTCTGCAGGCACGACTCATTTAACACCGCTAGAGTGAAAGCAAACAAAGAATTTATTGCACTATGTTTGGACTGTTTTTGATGGGCTCATTTTTATGAATGATTTGATTATCAGAACAGAAATTCATCGATAGAGCCAAAATGATAAGATGTGTTTAGTAATATTCATTTGTAATCATCTTTTAGAAAAATAAGGTAATCTTATTCTATCCATAAGCTTGGTTAATTTGAAAGATGTAGTTGTACACACTGACTCTTGGATCAGAAATGAAGTACCCTGGGCTCATTTTTTGGGATTAGGTCTATGGCCAAAGGAAGCCAGTCTAACTCCTGGCACATCCAAGTTTATCAAAATTAGGCAAGAGGGGGAAAAAAAGCTTTTCTTGCAAAAGAACAGATAAGGATGTAAGCCTCTAAAATTTGACATTAGAGGTTAGTTCTCAGGATACTGTGAAAGCTGAAGCCATGTTGCAGGGAAAAAGACTGCAGGCCCCCTCCCTGTGGGCTCCCCTGCCATTCCCAGTACCCTCATGCAGACCCCAGGATTGCTTAGTTCTTCATTAGTCTGTTTGTCTATTAATGAAGAGGAATGAGGTAGCCAGCACATTCTTGGCACTTACACTGAGGATTTGAGAGGAATTAGGACGCCATAGTAAAGAATTGTAGGAAAAAAGAGAATGTGACATTTTCACTTGTGGAATTGCATTTGAGTAGCCACCATTATTTAAATCCAAGGCGTCATTTAAAAATTAAGGTTTTATTGCTCAGGAGGATGCTAGAAGATTGAACAGCTTTACAGCTCTGTTAGGAGCAAGCATGTCATGACTGAGCTCCTGAAGATTCTGTGAGAAGTATGGCTCATTAAACTGTAAGTCTTAGAGACTGGTGCATGAGGTCATGTACACATATATTCCACACTGTGTTTTACGGTTTCATTTTGTAGTGAAAAATCAATTTTTTATGAAAATATGGTCTTTCTAGGTTTTCCAGAAAGAACTGGGGAAGAGGACCAGCAGCGTGCAGGCCCTGAAGCGCTCGGCACGAGAGCTCATCGAGGGCAGCCGAGACGACTCCTCCTGGGTCAAGGTCCAGATGCAGGAACTGAGCACACGCTGGGAGACCGTGTGTGCACTGTCCATATCCAAGCAGACCCGCTTGGAAGCAGCCCTGCGGCAGGTGACAGTCTTGTAAATTGCAGCTGGGGGTAATGAGAAAGGTATCAAAGCCCAGAGCTGCTCTGGTGGAGAACTGTTTCACTCCTCCTTTCTTAACTGGGACGGTGATGGAGAGGGAGATTCTTAGAGGACCCTTGCCTTGCTCCTCCCCCCAGGAGTTTTAAATTACTCACAGAGGGAAGTTTTCTCATCGTCACACAAGAGTGCCACTCTCGAAATTTTTCACCTCAGACGTGTAATGGGCTGTCATGGCTCTAACATCAGATTGTTAAAATGGTGAAGTAGTCTTCATATTGGCCTTTTTGATATATTAGAGGTCTTAACATTTATAAAGTGTAGCAACATGTATCTTTATCTTTTTAGTGGGCATAATGCGTATCGTTAATCAGTGTAAATTTAAGACTTTTTTTTTCGTTGAGAGGAGGACTCTATACTAACAAGCATCTTTGGGGATCTTCTTTGTGCGGTGTGTGTGTGTGTGTGTGTGTGTGTGTGTGTGTGTGTGAACTGTTAGGCAGAGGAATTTCACTCAGTGGTGCATGCCCTCCTGGAGTGGCTGGCAGAGGCCGAGCAAACCCTTCGTTTCCATGGTGCTCTCCCAGATGATGAGGATGCCCTTCGGACACTCATTGATCAGCATAAAGTGAGTTATCTAAATGCTAAGTAAACTAAATGAGAAAATCCAGTAGGCTCGTGATTGTAGATAGCAACTGCATGCATATTTCCCTTTCTGAGAAGTAATTAAAGATCTAGCACATTTGAGAATTTGCCTTTGTCCTCTTTGCTTACATTGGTGTGTCCCCATGCCCCCAAATAAGTGGAGTCATCTCTCCACGATTGCTTTGTGAAGAAGGTGGTTATTCTAAAGCGAGTCACCATCTCCTCTCTTTTTTTTTTTTTTTCGGACACAACAAAATTTAATAATTATATTTTTCCGGCTGTGTGTATTCCCAACCATCTCCTCTCTTTTGGATTGATCAAAACATTGATTTTTCTAGGAGGTTATCTGGCTTCTGACCAAAACTGGTCAACTTCATTGTACTTTCATGTGCATTTCAAAGATGAAATTTCCTTCACGAGCCTTTGGCAATTATAAACTTATATCATTAGAATTGTAAATTAATAAGTTTGGTCTTAGTAAACAAGACAAGCAAGTAATTTAATAACTGGTCTTCAAATTTTATTTTTCAATATCTGCCAGTTCTGGTTTTATTTTATTATTTTTTTTTTAGATTTTATTTATTTATTTAACAGAGAGAGACCCAGTGAGAGAGGGAACACAGGCAGGAGGTGTGGGAGAGGGAGAAGGAGGCTCCCTGCTGAACAAGGAGTCCAATGTGGGACTTGATGTGGGGCTTGATCTCAGGACCCTTAATGACTGAGTCACCCAGGCACCCCGCAATTCTGGTTTTAATCAAGATCCACCTTAAATTCTTATGAGAAGTAGCTCGTAGTATAAATTATAAATTAAAAATGAATTTTGTAAGTAGATATACTGTTGGATAGTTAACCAAATAAAAATCTGGCCACTGAGTCAACATCTATTTTGCAACAGTACCTAGAACTAGCAAAACCCTTAGGAGAGTGGTCTGGATACCTCCTAACACTTGTTTGTTTGTTTGTTTGTTTGTTTGTTTGTTTGTTTTTTAAACCTTTGTCTTTAAAAAATAAGAAATTTACAATGCTAACACTCAATGCAGTATCCAACATTGCTATTTAAAAGATCTGTTTAACGCCAGTAAAGAAGCTCATCTTCCAGGTTCAGGTTGGAAGGATGTCAGTAGTTCCATTGTGGCATGGATTACATCATCTATGGAGACTTCTTATTTGTGATGACTGTGCTCTCTCAATGATGGGCTGCCTAACCTATAGCAATGAAATATTGCCTTGTCCTTAATAAAAGTGATATGAGCTTGTCTAACTTTATCTGGAGGAGCGGAATGCTCCATAAACCATTTAAAGTTGAAGTTAGAATGTAAGAGGAGGAAAATGACATCAAATTTATTATAAATTTTTGATTCAGCTCAGTGTTTTGAAGAGCTATTATATTACTGTTGGCTGACCCATCAGCCAGCATTGAGTTCCACTGATAGAGTTGGGTCTCAGAGGAGCTTCTTAGATATCAAACATCTTACGGTAAGGTGCCCACTTAGGGTAACAGCACCCTCCGAGCAGGAGCAGGAAACCCCCAGAAGCATCAGGAAGCAGGGTATCCAGAGCAATGGTAGTGTTGTGGGGTCTTTTTGTTTTGGATTTTGTTTTTACAGTAAATTACCTTTAAATATTTTTAAGTTGTGTAAAATTACATGTAATTTCATAAAGGCGGCTTAGTACTAATAATTTGCCATAACATCATCCGTTCTTTCTTATTTCCTCTGCTTTCTTCACACACTGAGCAAATAAAAGTAAAACAAAATATTTAATTTCTTAGCCCCAGGACCAGAGACTTCTCAGTATAGTCCACTTTCAAAAATGGCAAGCTTTCCCAGGTGAGCATAGAATGCAAGCAGGGAGTTGACCATCCAGCCCATGGCATTCTGGGCAGGACTCTGGCACTGTTTGGTTAGGGGTGATTAAAAGTATACGGTCAAATCCCCTGTCCTTGGGAAAGCACAGCTGTTATTGACCTCTGGTTTTTCTCTTCCTAGTAAAGCTACCCCCCCCTTTCAGTTAAGCAGATCTGTATTGGGGGAAATGAAAATAATTTTTAAAAGTAGGTGATGATATTTTAAAAATAGGTCATGTTAGTGGAGTATACTATTAATCAAACCTTGACATGACGGCATGTGTAAATGAGAGTTAAAAAGCACTTATTCAATCACAAAGACACACGGTCTTTTGATCTTGTGGACCTTAACGTCCAGTAGGTATGTAAGGAAACATGGCAACATGCCAGAATAGGAGGTCTAGGACAGAGCTGCGGCACAGAACCCGAAAAGAAAAGGTCACTAGACATTCTAGGAAACACATTCTCAGATGATCACCCTGATCACATGGCATGGATAGTATGGGGTGTCAGCTCAGTCTGCAGCCTTTGCAGCCCTTGTCCATGTTACTAAGGAATCCCACCCTCTTAGTGCTGGGGTCCAGACTGGGGTGCTGGCAGATGCTTGAAATTCACTCTGAGGTTCTGGAAGCACAAGAGCTTTTTTAAGGCAGAGGTCCTCATTTGTGGCCACGCTGTCGGAGTTCTGTGACTCATGTATCTATGAATACAGTTCTGATGGTAGAAAGTACAGTTATGTATGTGAGACATTTGCAGAAAAGTTGATTTGAAAGCATTTTAGAGCCCATCAGGGCTTCTTCATCCCAGAGCGGGGTGACAGTTTCTGGCTGTCAGGCCCATCCCCTTCATGCTCTCCCCAACTCTTTCCTGCTGGACATTGGAGCCCTCTCTCCCTCAGCCCCAAATATTTATAGTTCCCTGCCCAGCCTTCTGTCTTCCTTTTCGTTACATATTCTTCTCATTCTTGGCACACAGTTCGTGCTGTCTTAAATATACAACCTCCTAGTCTTGTGAGGACATTTTTTTTCAATCAGTATTATTTTTGTCTCTGGTGGTACTATCTCTCCTAGTCCTGTTCTCCATTACTATATGTACACTCTATCCAGATATAGAAAAGTGTGTTTTTTGGTGTAACGTATCTTATAAAGCGTGAAGTGTTACCTAATACATGTATTCAGAAAAATACCTGTTAGAAAGTGCCTCATTTCCCATTGTTGTCCCTTCTCCTCTCTTAATTCCCCAATTAGTGAATTGTTTCCAGCAGTGAATAGTGCCGGTGAAGTTCTTGTGTGCTTGTCTAACTCTGACGGTCACAGGCACGTCACTGGAGTTTTATTTTCAACTAGTGCCAGCAGCTGATCGAGGTCTTTGTTTCTGCTCTAGGAGTTCATGAAGAAACTGGAAGAAAAACGGGCCGCGCTGAATAAAGCTACCAGTATGGGAGATGCCGTCCTGGCCATCTGCCACCCTGACTCCATCACCACCATCAAACACTGGATGACCATCATCCGGGCCAGGTTTGAGGAGGTCAGTGGGTCTCAAGTCATCATTAGAGCAGTAACAGAACTGAGATACATTTATGATCCAGCGAACAGGAGGCCTCTGCAAACCTTCCTCTGTGCATGACCTGTCTCTGCAGTCCACTTTTATTTAAAAACGTAAAGCCATTTTGCAGCTATGTCCCTGAAGCATGAAAAAGCAAATATTCGGTTCCCTGTATGACTTTTTGTCCCACTTCCACATTGTCGAACAACCCAGCACCCAAACTGTACTTCAGAGAAGTATATGCTTGGGGAATGGATTGCATACATGAACTGGATTCTGCATTTTAAGATTTTATCTATTTCTATTTCCACTCAGTGCTTCATGGAATAAGCATTCTTGAGCCTTCAGGAAATGTGTGTTTGAACTCAGATTAGAAATCTAAAGGAAGCCTGGGTGTTTTGACACCCCGTCTGTAACTATGGGGGCAAACATCAGAGGGGCTTTCATGTCCTCCGCAATCTGGGTCTCGGTACCACTGATGGGATCTAGAAAGACTGGCAGTGTTATGATCCCAGGCCCAGGATGATCTGAATTTACATTTAAATGTTGTGTATTTTACATCAGTTATTAACTAGGATAGATGAAATTGAGAGACATTTGTTTCCCCCACAGGTGCTGGCCTGGGCGAAGCAGCATCAACAGAGATTAGCAAGTGCTCTGGCTGGGCTCATTGCGAAACAGGAATTGCTGGAAGCTTTGCTGGCTTGGTTGCAGTGGGCTGAAACTACACTAAGCGACAAGGACAAAGAAGTCATCCCCCAGGAAATCGAAGAGGTGAAAGCCCTCATCGCAGAACACCAGGTAATATAAATATCATCCTAACCCCGTCTTCTCAGATACTGTTTTTATTTCACTGCCATACTTCTCAAGAGATTGCTTTGTGCTGGTTACCGTCACTTCCTCAAACACACTCCTCAAGTCCTTCCTTACATTTTTTGTCCGTTTGGCCCCGTCCTTCTGCTCCGTTTTCTGGCGACCTCTCTCTGCCGGGCTTTATGCCTCCATGCTTGCATATTCTACTCTCTGCTGCCACGCATCTCCCACGATGACCATCAGTACTTCAGACACACCCTGTCTACAAGGGAGCTCATCGTCTTGCTCCAAAAAACAAATGACTTCTCTATCCTGCCTGTTTTAAACTCTGAAATGATGGGCCTCCCACTGACTCTGATTTATTTGTTTGTTTGTCACTTTGATACACATTTATAAAGGGAAGCATTAAATGGCAGCTTAGTTGACTAAGCAGCTAGCACTGCAATTATTTTTTAATAAATGTATGAGCCATTCATGTCCATAACGGCCCTGAAGTGCCTCACGTCGTGTTCTCTGTGATCAGAGTTCTCCAGTGTGACAGATATTCCAGACATGTGTTTTTCTACTTTTCACTGTTATCCGCCTCCTCTTTTTTCCATCCCTTTTCACCACAGTCTCTGTCTTTGCTGCATATTCCAGATAGAGGGATCTCTAAGTCACAATAATAAGCCTAAGGAGACAAGACAAGAAGTAGCAAGATAGTCAGACCTCTTAAATGGGAACTTTAACCTGAATAATTTTTATCTCCCTTGGCATAGTATATGTATAAACAGAAATATTTAAAATATATACATATTTAAAATGTATGCCATATGTCACTGTATAGCAAAGTCATCTGAAGTATTTCAAATACATTAGTGAAACATGCTGCAGAGACATCCGAAGGACCAGCCCATTTGTTGCTTTGCAGATAAATACTCACTTTAAGATTCTTCAGGAAGAGCTTAGAAGCTCTGGAAGATCCTGGCTGATGCACAGATAGGTTATATTAATTATACAGCTGCTCCCATGCATGGTCATCAAGCTAAAACAAATTACTGTTACAATGCTCTAATTACTTACTAGGTATATATAACATTTTATATTGTTTAGTTGTGAGTAAATGCTGTGTTATAGTGGCTTACAATTTTTTGGCCACTAAAGATATAACAAGTTTTTTTTTTCCCCCAGAATGTTTTTTTTTTTCCCCCAGAATGAATTTCAGAAAGAATAGCATGGTCCTTTTATCCTTTGCTTTTAGTTCATTTCTAAAGGTAGTTTTCTGTGGTGTACTTACATTTAATTGACTTTGACCTTTCAGACCTTCATGGAGGAAATGACCAGAAAACAACCTGATGTGGACAAAGTTACCAAGACCTACAAGAGGAGAGCGGCTGATCCTTCCTCATTACAGTCCCATATTCCGGTCCTGGATAAGGGGCGAGCAGGAAGTAAGCAGTGGCCAATTTCTTTAAAATGCACATGGCTAAAGCCAAGGAAGTTAGTTTTGAGTTGTCGCTTGAAATTTCAGAGCAATTGGTGATTCTATGAGCTCTCTCTATCATAAAAGTTTTCCTTGAAAGAATACCTGGGCTCAAATATTGTAGCAGCTTATTTAAAAATAAAGAAAAAAATATATCCAGGCCTCTCTATGTAATTTTATTTGTTTGAAGGGTATCTTTTAGATTAGCTAGAAGAAATTGGCAAAAATGTACAAGAACAGAAACCATCATCCCCTTTGCTTCTGTTATATAAATAACCTTATGGGATATAGCAGAAATGACCATGACCTGGATATAGTTCATGACCTAACTATTCATTAGTGACTGGCAGTCTGATAGATTTTGCCCATGTTCATATGACTTCAGGCTCTATTTACTTCTTAGTCTACTTTGACTCCACGAAAGGAAGTCACAAAATGGCATTAAAAACAATAAAGCAGGCTTGGAGAAGATTTAAAAGAAGCCCAATTTATATCTGAACAGTGGTAATTTGATACATTTCTTAAAGGTGCCTTAATTAAAAAAAAATGATTTCAGATCTTTTGTAGTTGCTGTATTACCCAAGGGGGCAAGGTAACAAAGTGGTGGTTAAGAACTCTGGAGGAAGACTCCTTACCACCTTGGAAATATAACCTGGGACAAGTTACTTAAACTCTCTCTGAGCCTCAATTTACACATTTGTAAAGGGGATAATTATAACCTCACTGGATTCTGGTGAGGATTAGATAAGCTAATGTGAACGAAGTGCTTAGCATACTTCCTGGCTGGTAGTTAAATGCTCAGTAAATATTTTTGTAGAGCCTCGTAGGAGTGAGGAACTCTGGGCAAATCCCAGCTTGGACACTCTTCCTACGTGACTTTAGGCCAGTAGTTTTTCCAGGCCACGCTCAATCATTTAGTTAGATGAGAAAAATGCATTGAGACAACTGTTCTGTGATGTTATAGAAACTTGTGAAAAATAGCCAGAAAAGAGGGAGAAAAAATTAGTAAAGGAAGTAAATTGGGTTATGAGACTATGCACAGGAAATGTGCAGTCTGTGTGGAAAACAGACTTGGATGAAAGCTGGAGTCATACACACACGTCCTTATTTGATCAGAATTTGTGAAGTATCTTGCTGTGACTCAAATGAATGGCCACTGTCTCCTGCCCTCACCTGCCCTCCTTCCAGCCTTCTTTTCTAAGAAGGGCAGCTGGGTTTGGGTAGCTGATTCTAAGATAAGTCTCACTGCCCTGGGAGATTTATTTTATCATGCCTTAACAAAAGAGAGGCTCACAAGGTACTTCTTTGTCATTGAAATGGCATGGATTTTAAGCTGGAAAATGTTTTAAACATAATTTTGTAAAGAGAGCTTTTCAGTATTTAAATGCCCATTGGGCATGTTTCTCTGTTTTATATGAAAAGTATGTGATCCTTGGTAAGTAAAACAGATTTGAACTTGAACATTATAAGATCTAAGTAAGATCTTTCTAAATAATTAAGTTGATTCAGTTTTAGCTAGGAACAATAAAGGCCACGCCTTAACATATTTCAGAACCCTGGAAACCACCCTCCTAACTAAAGTTGCATTTTAACAGGAAAACGCTTTCCGGCGTCAAGCTTATATCCCTCTGGATCACAGACACAAATCGAAACCAAGAATCCGAGGGTCAATTTATTGGTGAGCAAATGGCAGCAAGTTTGGCTCCTTGCATTGGAAAGGAGGAGGAAGCTTAATGACGCCTTGGACAGACTGGAGGAGGTCAGAGAACTCCTGTGTTCAGCACTCCTGATAATATGGGATGTGGGTTTAGGGAATCAATAAAGTAAACTACAGTTGACCCTTGAACAACATGGAGTTAGGGGCACTAACAGCGGCCCCCCACACACACATACCACATAGTCAAAAATCCACGTATAACGTTCGACTCCCTCAAAACTGAACTGTTAATAGCCTATTATTGACCAGAAGCCTTATTGCCCTACCTATAAGAAGCAATTAACAAAGTTGTATGTGTTATATACTATATTCTTATAATAAAGTAAGCTAGAGAAAAGGAAATGTTATTAAGAAAATCACAAGGAAGAGAAAACACCTCTTTTTAAAAATTTTGTAAAAAACTTGCATGGAAGTAGACCCACACCCAGTGGTTCAAAGGTCCACTATAATATGTTCTAACATAATCAGAACCTGACTCCATAAGAGAAGATGCAGCTTGATGTATGTTTGCTTGGTATTACCTGGGCAATATAACCACTGATAATTCAGGTTTTTTCATTATATATATATTCTGTGGTCTGAGATTTAGAGTTTCAGATTCTGAAACTGGGAAATTTTTAGAAGCCTCGAGATGGTAGAATGGCAAAGAGCAGAGAGAGAGAGAGAGAGAGCAGAGGTGAGAGCTGCTGAGATGGGCCTGCTGTCCAGTAGGCACAGAACTTACCAGTATTGTTTCTTTGGGGCAGTTCACCTTTGTCACATTGGCACTATCAGAAATTGTTAGTTTGACTTTTTGAGGAGCTTTGTATGTTTCTTTTATTTGAAAAGAACAACCAGTGACAGTAGTGAAATCATAGGAAAGATGTTTCTGTGCTCCCTTTGCAAAATGAGACCTTATTTTTTTGAAGTGGGAAAAATCTGTGCATTATCTGGAAGGTCATTAAAAATAGCTTTATTCATAAAGTAGTAGATATCGTTTGCGCACCGTATGAACCAAAAATACCTTTTGTCCTTTCCAGCTGAGGGAATTTGCTAACTTTGATTTTGATATCTGGCGTAAAAAATACATGAGATGGATGAATCATAAGAAATCTCGAGTGATGGACTTCTTCAGGAGAATTGATAAAGATCAGGATGGGAAAATAACCCGACAAGAATTTATTGATGGAATTCTTTCCTCAAGTAAGTCCTAAGAGAAGTGACTGTAAATGATGTCATTTTTAAAGAAAATAAACACACTTTAAACTTGTGTTACTAATAAAGCATCGCCTTTAAACTTGGCTATGAAGTCATACCTTCAGGGAAGTGTCCTTGGTGAAATGCGTGGTTTTGGGGTCAGGCTTATTTCATACTCCTGTAACCACTGTTGGTATATTCCTTGCTCCCTGAAGCTGTGTCCTCATTAGTATAATAAAGTTAATAATATTTGATTCTTAGATTGTTTTGTCTGACCTGTAATGGGAAATCAGTAAGTTCAAGTCAGCCTCTTCCCTTTTTTGTTCTAATTGACACCTGATCATTGTCATTAGCGGGAAATTAGAACTCTATGAAAATTCTTAAGGTATGTGTCACCTTGTTTGATGGTTGAGTCATATGGATGTGATTTCTTGGGCAGATGTTACTGGAAATAATGCTTAAAGTAAATTTAATATAATCCTATGAGTGTATATATGATATGAATTCATATACATAAAATTCATATATTCCTTAAATAAAGTGGTAGTTGAACCATATGAAATTTGCTAATTTTAAAGTTTTCAACCAAGAAAAACAGCAATTTTAAATGATTCATCCTGGTAGTAATTAAAGATAAATGTAGGTCCTGTATATTGTGGTTTCATTTGTTATAATATAAATCAGTTTTTAAGAGGATTTTAATATATTTGATGGCCCTGATAATTTAACTGGCTACATTTAGATAGAAATAATACAACTGAGTCAGAATTAGCAAGGTATACTACTTAACTTTTTTTTTTTTTTTTTGAGATTAAATCTTTTTGTAAAATGTTATTATAAACTACAGGTCTTAAAAACTTTGAGAATATAGTATGGCTTATTCTGAGAGTATCTTAATTCGCATTTATACGTGGAATCTATACACAGAGTGAAACTCACAGTGTAGAAAAGAGGTTGCCAGGGGCTGGGAGGTGGGGGCGATGGGGACAGCCTGGAAAAGGGTACAAACTGTAAGATGAGTAAGGTCTGAGGATCTAAAGTACAATGTGATGGCTACTGTTGATAACACTGGATATTATGTAGTTGAAATTTTCTGAGTAGAACTTAAATATTCAGGAAAAAACAAAAAGATAACTGTGAGGTGGTGGGTGTGTCAATTAACTGGATGGAAGGACTCCTTTCATAATCATAATATGTACAAGGATCAGATCATCACGATGTATACTGTTCAGTATTTTACAATTTTATTTTTCAGATGTACCTCAGTAATCATACTTACTATTATTTCGAAAATTTTAGAGTTTCCAACCAGCCGCCTGGAGATGAGCGCGGTGGCAGACATCTTTGACCGAGATGGTGATGGATATATTGACTACTATGAATTTGTAGCAGCTCTTCACCCAAATAAAGATGCATATAAACCCGTCACCGATGCGGACAAAATCGAAGACGAGGTACTCCATACCCCGACCCCCTGCAACAGCAGCAGCGGGCGCTGCCCGGACACGATGCACAGATTCACGCCGCCATTTTATTTCCATCTTGAGTTGTGTTGAGGTGTTTGTGGACTCTGCAATGTCATGTTAACCTTGAAATGGACATTTCATCATTGTTTTTGGCAGGTGACAAGGCAGGTAGCGAAGTGTAAATGTGCAAAACGATTTCAAGTTGAACAGATTGGAGACAACAAATATAGGGTGAGTTTTCAAAAGTTAACTACTTAGTTCTCTTGAAGGATAACAATGGAAATTTGTATACAATTTGAACTGCATTGCTTTCCAGGAATGCTAATTATTTATTTTTTACCTGACATCACAATAGAATGGTATATGAAATTCCAGCTTTTGTCATTTTAAATGATGTAGAGATAGCCTGCATTTTGTAAACTAGGATATATCTCTGACACGCATTTTACTTTGAGGAGGAAAACACATCCCACATACTCAGGTTGCTTCCTGTGACTTTAAAATGTATTTTATTATGATTACAGGTAAGTTTTCATATTTCTAATAACAAAGCTATTCCAAGCCAGAACAACAAAGTTAAAAATGTTGAATCATTTTTAGAAATACGGAGAGGCAATGTTTTCCACTTGTGTAGTTATTTTTCTTTTTGTTCAAAATCTTAAAAGCTCAGTTCACCTTCTTCTAAACAGTTATTTGAACACCAGTGTGACTTTGTTACTCCTCTATCTTGTTTTCTCTTTTTTGGAATATCTCTTACATGTAGTAGCTAGATCAGAAATGTGCTGAGTTTCCCTAATACAGTATGTTACTTACAAGCAAAATTTCTTTTTGATTTCAGTTTTTGTATTTCCATATTGGAAAATATTCATCAGCATATTTGAATTTCTAACCTAAATATGAAACCCAAAGATTAAAAAAAAAACTTTTATAGAAAATTTACTGATTATATGGTTTACGTTTAGACCAGCGGGTACCTGCACATCTCTAAACTAGATACTATATCCAGGAGCCCAGAGTGTGACAGATTGTATGTGTGTGTTCTAGAGTCATACAGAAAGTTTCCTATTGAACTAATTGTGTCTTTCTTCCATTTTTCATTTTTTTTTTTTATCAGTTCTTCCTGGGAAATCAGGTATAAACCAGTGGAATGTATTCTCAAGTTCCCAATGATTTTTTTTTTTTTTTTTAACTTTAATTCATAGTCATTAAAGCTTGCCATGGCCAATCTTTCCCATGCTGTTGCCCTAGCTACTACATTGTTGGTTGGCGTGGTGTTTCTGTAAACGCTGTAAGGGTCCTTGATCCAGGATTCCTTTTTGCTGTGTGTCTCAAATGAGGAGATTACTTTTAAGCAAACCAGATAATAAATTGCAGCTTGACTGGTCACAGTGTTAGAAATGCCATTTTTAGTTCCGGTTTAATAACACTGCTAGCATATGTTTTATGCAAATACTTATTGGAACACAGATTTGATTCTGCACACATCTCTTTGCTGTGTTTAACTATTGAGGTTAAAAAACAAACAAACTCTGAGGTCCTCAGGTCAGCAGTAGCTAGAGAAGGATCTGCACTGGGCGGTGACGTGGGAAGACAGAGTAGTGAGAAGTCTCTCTGGCACTCAGCCACAAGTGATGCGTTCTCTCCAAAGCAGCGATTGTTGCATTTGTCCTAAACCACTGATTCAGGGCTTTATATCTTCTGAGCAGGAATTTTAACTCTGCAGGTCTTAACTGGTATCAATTTCTTTTGAGGAAATGTATCTCTGATAACTTCTGTGAAATCTTAAAATCACACTTTAACTCATTTGGCTTTACACTGAAGTCAGTATAAACTGTCCAGTGGCCCTGTGTCATGGTCACAATTTTTAGAACTAAAGATAAGGAAAATTGTGTTTTGATTTAAACAAAGGAGAAGGGATTTTCACTGTATGCTTTTGGAAAGAACTGTACTATTTTTAACACCTGATCATACATATCATGTCAGATCTCACTCTGCTGCTCAGTTTTTAAGCCATATTACCTCTTAGGTTTCAAATTCCCTGTTATCCCCATTCATTGAAAGCATATAACTTTTTTCAAATAGAAATTTTCAGCTCCTTTGAATAGATGTCTTCAAAACTTGGCATTAGTTATAATAAATAAAAAAAGATGTCTTTAAAAACTTGGCATTAGTTATAATATATAAAAAGTTACTGTTCTGATCCCTTCTTGTTATTTTCTGAGTCAACATTTGGGATAGTATTTTTTATTTGTGGAAAGGATGAGAAAAATGCTAACTTTAAAAGATTTTATTCACTCAAAACACTAAAAGCAAACATTAGTCTCTTTTTCTTGTCTCACGATTTGGCTGTTAGGAAAATTAGGGGAATTCTGAAGACAATGTTAGTTGTCTAGGGAATACCCTCAAAATAAAAATTTAAATCATATTTATTACAATTGAAATATCTCTATAAAATACATCATCTCCTGAAAAGTTTTGCTTTGAACATAATCTTGGACCAAAAGTATCTGGTCTAATTATCTGGTTTCTTAAGGGTAATTTTCTTTAAATCCCTTCCTTTTCCTTCGCTTATTAGCAGCACCAATTTTTTTCTAACAAAATAAATATATATTTTGATTTTTAAATTTTAATTTACATTTCAGGAACTGGTTCAATTTATAAGAAAGTTTAAATCTCAAGGCTTGAAAATGGACTTAGAAATAGCAATAAAAAAAGGGTTGATGTAAAACACATGAGTTCCTGCTGGTGCATTTTACATGCTTTTCATCCAGGTCCTTTTGAGTTTCAGGGTCTTGAATGGTTGGCTTTGTTTTAGGGTTCCTTTCCTGAAACTCAGTGTTAAAGTATATTGAAAAGTGGCAAATTTTGTTTCTACTTAAAATAAAGCTTTCTGATTATCCATCATGAGCCAGCACAAATAGTCAAAGTCACAACTGTATCTTACCTGCCTTTAAAAGAAGCTTTATTTATGTTTACTTGACTATTGATTTTGCTTGGTATCTGCTGGGTTGGCAGGCATGAAATTTGGGTTTGGTGATTTTTACAAGCTGAACATGAGCCTATTAGAAATGATTCAAAAGTACAAAATTATTTCTCATGGGCTTTCAAAATAAATTTTACGATCAGAAACTATGTAGTCTAGACATTTATTCAGAACTTACAGAATTTATAGCATATCCAAGTGATTGGAGATCCATTGAAAGGGTAAGAACACGACTGCTTATTAGTGTCAGTAATTATGGTACAAACACTTTAAGAGAAAGCCTTTTAGATTTGAAAGCTGTATCATTAATAATGTGTCACTGGCTGTTCTAATGTTACAGTAATCCAGAATGGCACATTAATCCAGCCTTTAACAAATTGGTTTACCAGATCATTAGTGATGCAGAAATTTTAGTTGACTGTGAAATTTTTGTTGGTCATGTTCATTTACTACATTTAATCTCTCTAAATCAAAACTGCTCTTAGAGAAAACGAAATGAGTTTACGGAGATTTCTCTAACAGATTTCTGTGGAAAACAGTTTTAGTAGAAGAGGAAGTTTTAATGAAGAAGAATTAGAGTTTATTAGATTTTCTTTAGAATCTTATCTTGTATAAGCCCTGGGCTAGTACGCCTTTACTTATTTTCATGTCTGTGTTTGATTTCTAGAAATATTTGTCAATTACTGCCTTACTAATGTTGTTTCTATCATAAAGAAAAATAGTTTTTTGAACAGAGCTTCAGTATCATACATGATAACCTTTGTTAGCTTTTTCCATACTGTTTCCTTTGGGCTAAATCAGCATGCAGCAGTCTAACGCAGATCATTTCAAACCCCCTTTCCTGAGATTTTACTAATCACTGTGAACTAAGCAAGAAATTTAAGTTGGTTGCTTAAGCTACTGCAGACTGTACATCATCCTTTAGCATAGACTTGCTGTTGACAATTAGAGGTTCTTTCTTCCTTCGTCTTCACAGTTTGGAGACTCCCAGCAGCTGCGACTTGTTCGGATCCTACGAAGTACTGTGATGGTTCGTGTCGGAGGTGGATGGATGGCACTTGATGAGTTCTTAGTGAAAAATGATCCTTGCAGGGGTAAGGAGATGCTATGTTAAGATAGTAACACCATGAAAGTGTATCAATTGTGTACTATTTTCCAGCATCAAAAACATGCTGGGTATAATTTTGGTCATTTATTACAATAATGAATGTTTCACATTGGTCTCTGTCAGCCTAAAGTTCCCAAAGAACTTGTGGCAGTCATGTAAACCATGTTCTTCTCATTTTTTTTTCCTTACATCTTCTGGATAAATATGAGACTGATAGGCAGGAAATACGAGAATAGATTTTTTTATCTTTAGGGAAATGCTCCCATCTGAAATTTTCAAAATGAGTAATTACACCAGCTAGGGGAAGGATGTCACCTGTCATTACATAGCAACGTAAAATGAAAGCAGATTGAGGTAAAGGAGACTGAGCATGCTGGACAATAAAGGTTTAAAAGTGGAAGTTTTTCATATTGGGGGGAGGTAAGGAAAGTTAATACCTAAAAGTTTTGAAAATCATCATTAACTGCCAACTTGACTCTTACTTCGAAGCTATAGATGAGCATGTTGAAAATAGAAACAAATGATACTATAGCTCACACCATACCTACCAGCCAAAGAATCCTTGATTATCTTTCAATTTTCCTTATTTTTCAGATCCTCTAGTCAATTGTGGAATTCTTAATTGATTGACCTTACAAGTGGCCATTTGATTGCAGTGTCTAGTTAGGTCCTGTTTACTTTAGTTGGCCCATTTTTCCTTAGGAAAAACAAAAACAAAAAAAGCAATAACATTTTTTGTGATTTTCTTTAACCTGTGAGCTCATTTCAATTGCCTTAAATGAACAACAGCAAATGTCCGTGCTGATAGTATTTCGGTTACCAAGTGGGAGGCCGGGGTTCTTCCAGCGGGGCCTCTGTTAATTCGATGCGGGCATCTGACTGTGCAGGTACATCAGAGTGAGTTTCTGTGGGTCAGCAGGCCGCTCTGCTAAGGACACCCGGGATCGTCCTATGACCCTACTCTGTAGCTCTGCTCTCTGCAGGTCAAAGATACACCCGCCAAAGGGTATAATCGCGATGACTCCCTCTTTTAATATTTTGGAAATACCACAGCCTCCAATGCTGTAGTTCCACTTAGGAGCCGAAGCAAATAGAATATGTAGTATCCTGTCGACTTGCTGCTTAGCAAAGTTAGTGTGACTGTGGCCAAGTCTTCCAAATACGTTTTTCTTGCTGAGTCAAATCTTTGAGTGCTTCTTTCCCTGATGCAACTTTTCTTCTAAAATGTGTGCTAAAAGCCGGATCTGAGCACCCCTTTGCATATTCAACTACTGTACTTTGTTTCTTCTCTTGCTAACAGTATTCTTTAATGTGATTGGTATCCTGTGTCATTTTTTCTAGTTCATCATCATGGGAGTAAAATGTTACGTTCGGAATCAAACTCTTCAATTACTACTACTCAGCCTACTATAGGTTGGCAACCCCCGTCTTTACCTCTCCCCTCTTGCCTTTTCTCTCTCCTACTTTTACATTCTTGCTTTAATCATTTGTTTTAAGATAACACGCTTCATCCATCGCGTATGGCTTAACTCATATCCAACTGAGCTGGTGCTTCCAAATTTAAATGCAGAACCGTTGGTACACTGCCAGTGTGCCACAAACATAGGTGCTCTCTAAGTGATCGGACACATGCTAACACGTTGCTCATCGGGTTCTTGTGCAGTGTTCTCCGTGTGCATATGTGTTTGTATGAGTGTTGCATCACTGATTACCTCATATCCTTGGGTCTGATGTTTGTTACTGCATGTCGGTTAAACCGAGTTTTCCAAGGCATAAAATAAGAATACCGGTTGCCTCATTTAAGTGAAAAACGTGAGAGTTTATATGTTGTCCTCATGATTAACGAGCCATCTCTCATTCTGTGTAATCCTGTTGTTTGGTTAATTCCAGTGTTAAAATACTGGCATTCTCCTTACCTCAGTAGTACATGCAAAAGCCACAGTCCCTGCCTTACTGGCTTGTCTTCTCAGTGTGGGGGAGGGGTGACGAACCATGTGGGCATCAGTAGCTGGTGGATTAACAATATTTTAGCATGAGCTTTCCATTTTCATGCTGACTCTTTCTTTAATAGTGGTTATTCTTGCTGGTGTCTAGTGTTAGAATAAACACACTTTTTTTTTTCTTTCCCAAACTTACTTGTATCCAAAAGGAATGCATTGTAAAGGAATGCATTTAACTTTTTGTTATGCTGCGTTGGAGTTGGCATGGCAAAAAGCTTTTCTTGAACTCCTCAACATGGTCTGTGGTGCCAAGCTGTTGTTCTTCCCGTAAGTGATTGAGCACCTCTTTTTGTCCCCTCCTCTTCTGTTTGCGTGCCTTGCTGTGTGTGTCACATAATCCAGCTAAAGGAAGGACAAACATGGAGCTCCGGGAGAAGTTCATTTTAGCAGATGGTGCCAGTCAGGGTATGGCTGCCTTCCGACCCCGGGGCCGAAGATCACGGCCTTCATCACGAGGAGCGTCACCCAACCGATCAACTTCTGTATCCAGTCAGGCTGGCCAGGCAGCCTCGCCACAGGTCCCTGCCGCCAGCACACCCAAGGTAGGACTCAGATAGGAAGTGTTGTCCTTCTCCTATGTGATCACTGTCTCGAGGGTGCTTTGGAGTGTTTGAGGACCCGAGAATTTGTGGGGCCAGTCTTCTCCATGTGTATCCCTTCTCAAATATGACAGATGAAGGATTAAATATGTGTTGTGCCTATGTGTATATATAGATGTATATATGGATGTATATAGAGATGTATATGCACATAGACACACACACGTTTGCCTTGTGGCCCATATGGAGACTATCTGCTTAGGAGCTTTAGTTACCTTTCAGAGTGGTTTTCTTTTTCCCTTTTAAATAAAGCTTTATTTATTTATTTATTTGGTGTATATGATTTGCCATCAGATCTTTCCATTTATTTTTAATTATTATCATTTTTACTGTGAATGTTACTCTTGGCTATGAGTATCTCTTTCTGTGGTTGTTTTTTATCTGCTATCTTTTACATTTGATTTGCCATTGTTTCATACAGATTCTCCATCCTTTAACACGCAATTATGGTAAACCATGGTTGACAAACAGCAAAATGTCAACTCCTTGTAAACCAGCAGAGTGCTCAGACTTTTCCGTGCCATCTGCAGAGGTATCGTAAGGCCCCAGATCCTGGTCTAACAGTCTTCTTTCATTGAAACTGTCACGCACTAACATTGCTTTACCTCTCCCTTAACACACGTACTTCTGACAATACCTTGTCTTCTTATAGACTTCTGTAAGACGAGTATCAACTCAGCATTTCTGGAAAGACGTCAGAGTAAGGGGTTCGTAGAATGGGAACTCATAGCTTTTTGGACGGTGTCGGCTGAGCATAGTGACGCCACTTCGCAGGCTCCGTGTGCCTCTTGTTTTGTTGTTGTTGTTGTTCTCTTCCTCATACTTAACTTGACTTTTCTCCCTTGGGAGAGTGACACACAGAAGATTATATTTAGGCCTAAGTGAAATTTCTTTTAAAGCCCCTGGTATGCTCATGCTTCTAACCATAATTTGGGCAAGAAATGCAATAATCCCCCTTTAAGTAGGGTGAGAGGCACTGTCATTTGCAAGAGAAATTCACTTACATTGAAAGAATGTTTATTGAGTGTTTCTTATGAACACCGTCCTTCCAAATGTTTGTTACGTTTGTTTCTGTTGGAGAGCACTGGGTGGGTAAGCCATAAGCCTTTTAGTTATCAGTACCGTGGCTTGGGGGCTGAGGTGTGCAAGATGTTCTCTGCCATTTTCGATAGGTGTGTGTCTTTATTAGACCTTAAAGTTTACTGTTTAAATATGCTTCAGCTTTTTAACATGGCCTGATTGATGGGGATGAGATATCTAGGTCATATAAAATTTGCCAAGCTAGCTCATCTATCAGATTATCTACATTCAATTGAAAGTCCACCACACAGACTTGAAAGGAAGTTCTCTGTAAAATGATACACATAGGTATCAAATAATCACATATTTGATTAGAATCACAATAATGGGATGGGGCGGGGGGGAGTCCCTCAATGATTTGTCTGGAAATGAAGGGGGGATTTCATGTTAAAGGCCAGGATCCTTTTATGAAAATGCTATAGTACCTTTAAAAAGCCCTTTATGCTTTTCAAAAACTTTGCTTTTCTAATCTATTATTTAATCCTTGGATGAATAATAAGAGGTAAGCAGAGAATGTTTTATTATTCTCATGATTCAGATGGAAATGATGCAAAGAATCCTTGCTGGAGATGGTAGAATTGAGGCAGAAACAACGCCTTCATCAGCTCTTCCTCCTTCCCTAACCCCTCATGTCCACCCCTTCCCTCCAGTGAAAGGGGTTAGTATCATGTGTTATCTGGAGACGCCTGCCACTTATGATGGATTTGTTGTAGCAAAAACTGAGAAGGTTTTTAAAACTTTTATTTAAATTCAATCTAGTTAACATATACTATATTGTTAGTTTCAGAGGTAGAGGGCAGTGACTCATCAGTTGCATCTAATACCAGGGCTCATTCTATCACATGCCCTCCTTAATGCCCATCACCCAGGCACCCCATCCCTCCACCACCTCCGCTCCAGCAACCCTCAGCTTGTTACCTAGACTTAAGAGTCTCTCATGGTTTACCTCCCCCTTTGATACCATCTTATTTTATTTTTCCTTCCCTTCCCCTGTGAAAACTGAGAACAAATTTAAGGAACCTCAAGTGCATGTGTGTTTTAAATTTTGGGACTGTGCTATTGGGTTAGTTCAAGATACTCCCCCAGATTAGAGTTTAAGTATGTTACTTTAACTACTATAAAATTATGTTTCATTTCCAGTAGCCTCATAGACAAAATAGCCAAACAGAGAAAACAATAGTATACTTCTGTGGAGGGGTCTGTAAGAGAACTAGGTAGGGTTTATGACAATAAAATAAGAACAGTCAGGGCGGGGTGCCTGGGTGGCTCAGTGGATTAAGCCTCTGCCTTCAGCTCAGGTCATGATCTCAGGGTCCTGGGATCTAGCCCCGCATCGGGCTCTCTGCTCGGCAGTGAGCCTGCTTCCTCCTCTCTCTGCCTGCCTCTCTGCCTACTTGTGATCTCTCTCTCTCTCTCTGTCAAATAAATAAATAAAAATCTTTAAAAAAAAAAAAAAAAAAAAGAACAGTCAGGGCTTTCTGAGAAGAATGATTTGGGTCTCACATGGCAGTGAATTCTGGCACCTTGAATGATATATGTCATAATTTGGGGGTCCTCACTCTTTTCATGGATTGTTAAGATTCTTTTAAAGCTAGGAATTTAGCTTGATCACAGTTGCCAGATCTTGGGCAAACCACAGCCCTTTTCAGGCCCTCATCTTTCCCATTTATAAAAAAGTTGTGATTAGGTAAGTGTTCACACACACATTATCCTGACATGTTTGAAAAGTATTTTGAAAACTTAAGTTTTATATGTCTACAAATCACATACAAATTCCACTCTTAAATGTATGCTAGAATACATATGTAAATGAATTTCAAATATGACATTTATATTAAATTGCAACTCTGAAGTATCAAAAGGTTGTATATATGCTCTATTAAACATTCACAGCTAATAAGGGAAAAACTAATTAAAACACACACACACACACACAGACACACACACACAGACACACACACACACACACACACACACAATGTGTGTAGATTCCTTTCCACCAAACAGCTCTCGGTAAGTTAATTGAGGCAAAATGGCATCCCTTCTATTTCTTGGGATTTCTGTTTATTTTTTTAACTTCAGGAGATTTTTCAGAATGGTGTAGTGATCTGGAAAAAATGCAGTGATTTTAGACTTATAATAAAATCTCGTAGTCGTGTTTGCTTTAGGCATTCTCTGTGAACTCCTTAAGAATTTTTTAAGTGTTCTTCCTAAGCATCACCTCCATGTTTCATGTGGAAGGACCACAGAAGGTATTGGAAGTAGGTACAGTAGCATGGTACCATGTTAGAAAATGTCACTGCATGTATTTTTCAGCTAAGTTTAAATGGTGACTGTTTAGGCCTTGTTTACTTATTGTCCTAATTCTGTCTGTTCTTTTCTGCTTGGTTACCTAAAAGCTTTGGAGGCCACAGACTTATCCAAGCACAGCTTTTTGGAGTCCCTCACTCTCTCTCTACCGTGTGCTCCCCATCCTTCTGGCAGGACTCTCCTAACTCTGTAATATTCGCTGACAACCTGGAAGATACTAATGTGCTCACGGTTTAATTCGCTTTTTTTTTTTTCCCTTGCTGTCATTTGGGGATCTCTATTTTTGTGTTTTCTCTTCAACATGAATTCCTTTTGAATTCAGGGAGAGAATAAGAAATGAGGAAAGTGAGCAGTGAGAACCCCAGGTGGCACTTAATCAAAAAATGCTTCCCCCTCTCCCGCTCCCCCTCCCAAAGAGGGTTTCCGCCCATCCGTAACAGGCTGTTAGTGGAAGATCACACAGCAGGAGCAATTTCTTAAAATGTCCTTTCACTGATTAAATACAGGGCACACCAATCCAAGGAAGCAAGCTTCGGCTCCCCGGCTATTTATCAGGGAAAGGTTTCCACTCTGGGGACGACAGTGGCTTGATAACTACAGCAGCAGCCAGAGTCCGAACACAGTTTGCTGGTGAGTGTGGCGCGGGTCCGTCTCTAAGGGCTTCTGGCAGTTGGATCGGCAGACTCGAGCCTCTGCTCTTCTTCCTTGGGGATGAAATAATGAATTGATGATTCTGTATTCTTTTGAAATGACACTTAGTCCAGTCCTCCCGCTGTGGTAGGGGTTGAATGAGTCATGAGACTAAGGGACAGGAAAATCACTTTTGGAAAGTACCAAAGAAAGGTGAACATGGGAAGCACCACAGCCATGTCCTTCCCATGTCCTATGCTGGAAGGTCTGGGCCCTTCTGCCTGCTCAGAAGTTGCCCTGGTCTCTGTTCTTGGGTGGTTGGAAAAACCCAACCATGCTGGGCCTTACGCCCATGGCGCTTCTACTTCTTCACAGAATAGTGAACCCAGTCCCTGGGGTTGTGGGCTCAGCTAGCAGGAAGCATCTTTCAGGTTTCAAGTCTTCTCTTTTAAATTCCCATGTGTTTTGAATCACTTATCCTTGGGCAAAACTTACACCTAGGGGTTTGCTCCGTGTTTGCTCAGCCCTAGGTACACACGCTGAACTTCAGAAAGCATAATTTTAAACTGTAGGGATCTTCCTCATATTTGTTTGTAGTCAGTGGAATCCTGTTTTCAGTCACTCAGCCCAAACGTACTTTTAGTTTGTGAACCTATCTCTACTCAGAGTGAGGCTACCTTCCCTAGTGGAATGTAAAAAGGCCATGAATCCCCAGGTCTCTTGAGCACCTACCAGGCAACAAGAAAAGTTGTGGAGATTAAAGGTGGCATTTGTTTTAAGAATGTGTTGCCCGTGGACCCAGTACTAATAAAGTGTGGTTCAACCCTGTCTGTCCTGTCTCCTCAGACCCCAAGAAGACTCCCAGCAGACCCGGAAGCCGAGCCGGAAGCAAAGCTGGCAGCAGGGCCAGCAGCCGCCGAGGCAGCGACGCATCCGACTTTGACATTTCAGAAATCCAGTCCGTGTGCTCCGACGTGGAGACTGTGCCCCAGACACACAGGCCTACCCCCCGAGCAGGTTCTCGGCCAGCCACAGCCAAGCCTTCCAAAATCCCCACGCCCCAGAGGAAATCACCTGCCAGCAAATTGGACAAGTCCAACAAGAGATAGTGCACTTGGTTCCACCACGGCCCTTCCTTGAGCATTTATTATTTAAGCTTGAAAGATGTAAAATATGATGTAGAAATTATTGTGAAATAATTACGAGAAGTGAGTTTAAAATTCTGCAGATGGCCTTATTTGTGTATTTGTCTTTTTATTTTATCTGTAAAATGTTTTGTCAGCTATTCTGGGGTCAAAGTCACATGGTATGTGAGGGGGGAGGAAGGCGGTCCTGCGGCACGGACACGTCCACACGGTCGTGCGGAGCCCATACTAGAGCCCGTGAGCGTCCCCGCAGGTAAGTCCACCGGTGCACTGCGGCCGCGGCCCACGGATACCTCATGACATCTTCCTGCTTCTGTAGAAACTCTGAAAAGCCAAAAGACACACACCCGGGATACATTTTGAGATGACTTCACTGTAAAAGAAAAGATGGAGGGCAGACAGCACGTCCACACACACACACACACACACAGTCGTTTAAGCAGTATCTGACCGACACGCCCAGGAAGTTCTTTTAGGCCCCGCCGCTCCGGCCGGCGCTGGGACGTTCGAGAGCCCGGCCCGGATCCCGAGCCGCAGCTTCCCGAGAGGCCAAGAGGCATCCTGGATACTAGACCTATTTTACTGTAAGAATATAATTATAAAGTGCATTCATAGAAATGTGAGGTTTTCTTTTGCTTGAGTGGACAGTAGCACCTGTATCATTGAACTCATTTTGTATCAGAGCAATTTTGCTTGCAGAAAGCTATGAAATAAAACATGTCCCTTAACTACATTGCTATGGAATTAATTTTTTTCCCCAGGGAAAATCCGTGTATTTTTTTATGAGCAATATCAATTTGGAGTGACCAAAAGATACTTACAAATGGGTTTATTTTGATTTCTCATCTGAAATAATCATGTTCTGGTATTATATCTATATTTAATAAATATATACATTTTAATTTATTATGTATACTCACATACTATAGAAAGATACTAGTATGCATTTAATAAAACATATTCACTTGAACATATGGAATACCTGATTATTTAAAGAACTTTTTCTATCGTTTGTTTGCTTTGAATAAAGGTTGTATGTATGATGTATTTTTGCTAATAGCGTGATAGGCTGAGTTTGGGGGACATCACAACACAGGGATATAAAATAGAATAAGTATGTACTAAGAATGACGTTAACAAATATTTAATATCCTACAAAATATTTTTAGTACCAACCATGTGCCAGCCACTATTTTACCCTGAGGCTGCAGGTTCTTTGCCATCTTATATTCAAGGGAGAAACAGTTAATAAATTAATAAAGAAGCAAATCACTAAAAAAACATGACATAAAACCAGGGGATGTGTGATGAGGTGACTGCTCTTATTAAGGTAATCTAGTGATATTCTTCTGGCCTGTGTGCATTTAAAAATCAAATGATCGGGGGCGTCTGGGTGGCTCAATGGGTTAAGCCTTTGCCTTCAATTCAGGTCATGATCCCAGGGTCCTGGGATGGAGCCCCACATCAGGCTCTCTGCTCAGCAGAGAGCCTGCTTCCTCCTCTCTCTCTGCCTGCCTCTCTGCCTATTTGTGATCTCTGTCTGTCAAATAAATAAAATCTTAAAAAAAAAAAAATCAGGGGCTGCCTGGGTGGCTCAGTGGGTTAAGCCTCTGCCTTCAGCTCAGGTCCTGATCTCGGGGTTCTGGGATCAAGTCCCACATCGGGCTCTCTGCTAGGCAGGGAGCCTCCCTCCTCCTCTCTCTCTCTCTCTCTCTCTCTCTACTTGTGATCTCTCTCTCTCTGTCAAATAAAATCTTAAAAAAAAAAATCAAATGATCGAATTTTCCCAAATACAGGAATGGCATCAAATATAACTAGAAGTGGGAGCTGAGTGGCTCATTCGAGTTAAGCAGCCGACCCTTGGTTTCAGCTCAGGTCAAGATCTTGGGACCCCGGGGTTGGAGCCCCTGTGTTGATCTTCGTGCTCAGCGGGGAGTCTGCTTCTCTCTCTCCCTCTGCCCTTCCCCTCACTTGTGCACTCTTTCTCTAAAATAAATAAATGAATCTTTAAAATGTATAATTAGAAGAATGTCAGATCGTTATTTTGGGCATGACAGGTCATAACTTTTCCCGTAACTCTGTAAATGTATTTTAGCCAATAGCAGTTGTGGTATTCAGGCTCAAGGGGATAGTATTATGTTTTCCCTGCTTGGCCTTTTTTCATGGAGACAAGCAGTGAAGAGCCCAGAGTCTCCATGGACAGGAATTAGGGGCCACTTTTAAGTGATGGTCCTTTTTTCTCAGAGATGGTTCCTTTTTTCTCAAAGCATGGATCTCAGGTGGGAGCCATTGATAGAAGGGGTAATTCTAACCTAATAGATCACGTTATAATTCATGCATTTGATTATAAATGTGTCACCTGAGAAAGCAGTTGAAATGGTTGTTACTCCTTTGGCGCTTTTTGTATGATCACATTTCCACTTCAAAGACAAATTTAAGAGAATGATTTTATCTCAGCTTATTTGAAAGCCACCCCCATTAAAGACCTAGGGATTTTGCTCTCTCTCTTTTTTTTCTTTTCTTTTTTTTTTTTTAAGTAGTTAAATAAGCCTTTGAAGAAAGATAAGTGGTTTAAAATATTTCAGAGAATTCCTAAGGAACTGCTCCCAGTTATCAGCAGTTGCCCTCATGAGGAGCTTTTCAGACTTTGATGCCTGATACTTGTTTCCTCCCAAACTAGTCCTTGAGCCTCAGGCTGACTTCTAAAAAGTCCTCCAAGAAGTTTCAGGGAATGTGGCACACACACCTCTTCCCACCCCCCCACACTCCTACCTTTTCCTTTCCTTCTTTTTCTTTAAAAAACAGAATATTGAAATGAATCTCAACTCCAAAAATCTTAAAGCTTGTTTCTGTTAAAAGATAAACTAAGGAATTTTATTAACATTTTTAGGAGTTTATTTGAGCAAAATCTATTGGAAGCAGGCAGCACCAAACCGGAAGTGGCTGGGTGCCCTCCATGGACAGGAGGAGCTCAGGGGAAGAGACCGAGAGTAAGCAGAAGCAACATAAGGGAGTGATTGATTGGCTAAGCTTAAGGCCTAGTTGGCTGTTTGTGATTGGTTGTCCTTGGCATTTTGATTTTTAACGTTGAAGTGTTTACAGACTTAGGTTTTGGTTGCTAAGGTCGAACACCAAAGTGTTAAATTCACAGTTCTTAAACGTTAGGGTATTATGGAGTAGATTTTTTGTCTTAAAAATCAACACTACCAGTTTTCATGTATGTTTACTATTGTATTTTGAAATAATGGCACATCCTCTTTGATGGCAGTGCAGAAGTAGATGGGTTTGGGCAAATCTCAGATCTGGTTCTTTCCATGGTGAATTCTGGTGGAAGGGTTTGGGGCGTGCTCTGGGTGGAGGTGCTGTCCTCCCAAGGACAAGAACCTGGGAAAGGATCTTGTTCCCTTTTTTTTTTTTAATCACTTTAAGACTTGTTTTAGGGGGCATCTGGGTGGCTCAGTGGTTAAAGCCTCTGCCTTCGGCTCAGGTCATGATCCCCGGGTCCTGGGATCAAGCCCTGCATCGGGTTCTCTGCTCAGAAGGGAGCCTGCTTCCCCCCTTTCTCTCTGCCTGCCTCTCTGCCTACTTGTGATCTCTGTCTGTCAAATAAATAAATAAAATCTTAGAAAAAAAAAAAGAGTGGTTTTAAATGTTTGCAAGAAGGGAAACTACTGAGTGTGGTGATTTACTCCTTTTTTGACAGGTGTTTTGAAATGTGTGTGCTTTATTGCCAAATGTGTGACCCGATAACCACCCAGCAGTACATGCCCCAGTGCCCAGGCTGCCATGTGTGTGTCTGACAACACTGCCACTCGGCCATGAACTTACCTTTGGGGTCTCACAAAGGAGGCAAGGATAGATACTGCAGTCGTGTTAGGGATTGACTTAATGGTCACCAAAATCTACTGGAAAGAGAATGGTGTCATGAGTGACTTGTTTGTGCAATAGTTCATATGACTAAAGTCTGACTTACCTTACTGAATTGTACAACTTTGGTTGATTTTATATAATTTCAGAGTCTCTGGTAATACTGACTATCTAGTTAGGGTGAAGAACAACAAAAATAGGGACTTTTTCATCCTTCTGCCTCGAATGTGCTAAGAATATATGCAAAGCAAAATAGGTTGAAAGGAAATTTGTCTTAGTTTACCCATACTACTATTATACTCCATTATTTGCAATTAAAGATTGCATAGGATATGAGAATAAAATAGAGATTAAGAAGCTTTCAAAAATTATCCTCAAAAAGATGGGAGGGAGGGAGGGAGACAAACCATAAGATAATTTTAATCTCACAAAACAAACTGAGGATTGCTGGGGGGAGTGTAGTAGGGAGAGGGTGATTGGGTTATGGACATTGGGGAGGGTATGTGCTATGGTGAGTGCTGTGAAGTGTGTAAACCTGGCAATTCACAGACCTGTACCCCTGGGGCTAATAATACATTATATGTTAATAAAAAATTAAAAATTAAAAAAAATTATCCTCAAAAACAAACCATTCTTTTAGAATGCTACTAATCTTAAAGTATAACTGCTTTTACCCTAGGGCAAAGGCTAGGATATTTAGTTCCCACGACCTTACAATCTTAACTTCTATGCCAGAGGTCCCCAGACCTCTTCCGGGGCATATTTCCATCAATAAGAGTTTGTTGAGCAAACCTATCCAATGTATACCCTATTAATTTCTTCTTATGTCTTTTATTTGCATGTATTTTACCATTAGCTAATTTCCCAAGTCTCTATACAATGTTAGAGTGAGATCTTTACAACATCGATGTGGGTATAGGTACATATTTTAAATAGTCTTGACACCTTTTTTGGGCAAATTTTTGTCAAGTCTGAGGAGAGCCTCCTGAACGCATCTCATGATGTGGCTGATGAAAGGGCTTGTTCCAGAAGCTCCATCCCTGCCACTTCCTTGTTTGTTTATTGCATCTTAAGTATCTTAAATTCATGGTTTCTTTGCAGGGATCCATGTAAGCCACATTTTGTAGAAAAGAGATAATCTCTGTAAATTCACCCAGCTTGGCATAGTAAACTGCTGTCCACTCTACACGCTGAAAGCAAACTGAGGAGTTTGGGAGCTGTTGGAACTCCCTCCCTGTCCTCATATCACCTCAGACACAGATCATAAGAGGACACTGAGTGATGGGAAGGCAGGCACAACTGTCAGTCTGTAGTAAATGTTCATGAAGGTTAATTTCCTCCTCTTCTTTTAGACAAAATGTAATTATAAGCAGACATCTTATTTTCCCATATCCTATGTGACACCTTGTGAGATCAAGGTGTTCTCCACTGTTCTCCACTGTTTTCTTCTGCCACTTCTCAGCCATCTTTTCAGCAGGGTAGAAGTATGCTATGAAGTTCCTTTCCTGTCAGCTCCTAGTTATGCAAGGTTGCACTCCTTTGCTAGTGGTTATGTGTAATTATAGCCCCGGTTAGCTATTCTCCAAAAATTTGGGGTTAGGGGTTTGGGGGAATATATCGATATTCCCAAAGCCACAGTTTTCTTCTGGCCCTTGTTATCTCACCTGTCCTCCTACAGCCGTCACGTGTTTATCTTCTTA